GCGGTGCGTCGCCGGAGGGTGTGCAACCAACCAAATCCCGCGAGAATCGACATGTGCGGGGACGGCGACGGCGAGGAGGAGCAGCGCGCGTGCCACCGCGTAACAAACATCAGATGCACGAGAGGGACCCGATAGCTCCGTCAGTCGGTGGTTGCTCGGTGGGTCGAGGGCTGTGAAGCAGGTAGTCGGGGCAAAGGGAGCGGAGAGACGGAAAGGGGGTTTGAAAGCACGAAGAGGATGGCGGGTTCCGCGCGCGCGGTGGATAGATGGGCGAGTTGTGAGTTATCAGGGGCGGGCAGGCTCGTGCGGCTCCACTACTCCGCGAGCGAGAGGGTGGTAACGACGGAAGCGTGGTAGTTCTGGCCCGGCGCTACCCGCATCTATCCCCCGCTGGGGCGGTGGGTTGGGGTGATCGATATGCCGTGCCGTGGCGACGGCACACACCACGCCACACAAGCACGTACATCGCGCTTCAGCGACAACGTAAGGAGAAGATAGTTATCGAAGGGATGCGATTGTCTCGGGTAGGATATAAGAAGATATTTCGTGTTCTGGGTGTTTATGCGACGTTTTCGCGATATTTTCTGCATGCGATATAATCTCACAAATGTGTATTTATATCGAATATTACTCTCATATTTTTTGCAATTATTACATGAAGAATATCTGTTACGGAGTGGAGAATCGTTATCGAGATCGCGTCCGTATTCGTTTTTGTTAAGTAGTGAACGTTGTTTTTAATCGGACCGCTTTGTCGCGTGTCTCGTACAACGCGCGTGTTTATCTCGCGCACTGTACGTCGCACGACTGGTTCGTACGCGGTGAAAGCGTCGACGGGATGAGCGAGGAAAGGGGCCGGGGATGGTTTCGAAGCGATCAGAACTACAGGACCACTCCGTCCGTCTCTCGGCATCGATGGCACCCTCCGGCCCGCATCCCCGATCGCTCTAGTTCAACACGTACAAATACTTGCGCACTTACACGCGCGCGCACACATACACATACTCTACGTACGTACAAGAGTGCGGACGTCTCGCTTCTATAGCACCGTTTTCTGGGTTAAGTAGAACATCCTGCGAAACGTCGTCGTTGTCGTGTCCGCATGTAGCGACACATGATCGTGGATATACAAAATATATATACATATATATATACATAGTCTTGGTATCGTTCTATATTCATTGAGAAAAATTCGAATTAATTTTTAACTTTTAATTTACTTTTTGTTACATTTCTCCGCAAAATTGGATGTAGAGTGAAATTATTTTCTCTTAAAATCTCAATGTTTTCGTCAATCTTGCTTTTGTAAATTTAATAAAAATATTAATACATATATATTCTTATATAAACGCGCTTTTCTACGCGGAAGAAGAAATTATATATATCGAAACTCTAATATATTCTATTGGGATTCTAATTAAATAACCGTTCGGATATGAAGTTGGCTTGAAATCAGCATGAGCATATTGATGACGCGATATAGAAAAAGAGTATTGCGAAATGGAAAGAAGATTACTCTCATATTCGATAAATTGATATTATTACGTACGATAATAAATGATAATTTCATATTCTGACTTGATCGCGAATTTCCCACATAATTCGATGAGAATAAATTAAAATTTCACAAATTTATACCTCAGAAAAAGATAAATTTCTGTCATTTTTTTTTTATTGTATATATAACCCTGTATGTATTTTATTAACGTGGCAGGCGCATATTATCGATATTATATGCTCAACTGACAATTAATGACACAACATACCTTAATTGTTTGCGAAGTCTGCGCGCGACAATTAATTCGACGTCATTCCCTTCTACTCCAAGTCACCATCCGAATGACAATATTCTGGCGCATGTTTTCACTTGAAGTTGATTCACCACCGAGACACAACATTCGGTTCGAACAACGTCGATCGAAACGGAGTGTACGCGGAAAAAGAAATAAACTCGCGATCACTTTGGCGTTAATTAATCGCTTAATTAATCGCAACTGCGCTCGTCAAAAGAGGCGGTCGTGTCTCGCGTCAGCTTCACGCACAACGAACTGTGGCTTTCTTTATCGGTAAAACTTTACTACACTGGCGCATTTCAATGAAAACCGAGAATCGAGAACAATGAATACAATTTCTTTCATCATTCCGCAACTTGGATCACTTCCGATCGCAAAATTCACTTGCACTCGCAGCTGCGACCCAAGTTTTCACGCCGCGAAATGACGTGTCGCGCGCGAGAAATCAACATGGCGACGAAATTGCGCGCTTCGAATATCGAAATGAGATCAAATCGATTATTTCCGATTAAGAGTAAATATCGATTATTGCACTTCGCACAATCGCACCAACCTTCGATCGATATCTTTTATTATGCGAGATCTACAAAATTTTCGAAATTGCGATTGCGACTTGCGACCGATAGAGATTCGATTCTTCGCGCAATTTATTCATCGCTTCGATGAATTGTTTTTGCAAACGAAATCACGAAGACTGCTTTTTCCGTTCGTTCGATATAAAAGTATTTCCACTTTCAAAAAAGATCGCGACACTCGCGAAACGACAAATCGAAACGCACTTTACGAGGTTGGACTACTAGATGCGATTGTTGCTCGGTTCGAAACTTTTGTCATCGAATGAAGAAGAAAAATCGACCGATTGTGCAATTATTATTATTATTTTATTATTATAATAATTAACACTTAACACTCGCGTGAAACACTTTTTCGACACTTTAAGTAACGCGATGCGACTTTTTTTATAAGCAAAATCGTGAAGGACTCGCAGCGCGACGTACGAACTCTGACTAACGCGAAGGACGCGAAGGACGCGACGCAACGTAAACATAGGAGCAAAAGTTGTAAAGAAAACAAAGACTTTCGTTTCGACAGACAAATACAGAAAAAGAGAGACTTGAGATTTAAGAGTTATCGAGTGTAATCTCTTATCATTTAAAATTATACAATTCCTACACTTTCTGGAAAATGTTTATTAATATTTAATTTGGGGCAGGTAATTGTTACAATTCGTAATTAAATATAATGTGTACGATAATATGTATATAAGACGAAGTCCTACATTCTGTATATGTTTTTCGCTCCAATGACGTCATCTGGAAGAAGGCGAACGATCAAAAGACGACACATCCGTCTTCCACACACAATGTTAAGTTATTAATTATTAACATGTACAAATCGCAATTCTGTGTTACTCTCCCTATCTTTAGGGATTAAAATTTCGTTGCAATTTTTGGCGACGCATCACTCAACGAACAATCGAGAAAAAAAAAACAAACAAAAAAGGCGTTTCTGGTTTCTCACTTGCGGTTGATCGAACGCAATCGAAGCCTAATCAGTCTTTTCATCTTTCTCCCCCTATGGAAATACCTCGCAGATTTTGCCTCGTCGTGAGCAAGGGGGATGAGTTTCGGGCTCGCGTCGCGCGCGAGCGTACCGAGAAAAGAGGGTGACGAGAATCAGGGGTTGGGAATAGAGAGAACCGGGAACGGGGTAGAGCGTATGGTAATGGCGCGTAATACGATCTGATTGCATTTATGATGAATGGGGGTCGCGGTGGCGCGTGGAAAGGGGGATGGATGGGGGCGACGCGCGTCGAGTCGGGCGGCGGCGGCGGCGGGCGGTTGGAAATTCTGCTTGCGGTTTAATGACAGCGCCGGCGTTCGTCCGCTCACTCGCTTCGTTATTGCTTGCTCGCACTTGTTCGATTTTCGACCCTTCGCGCGTTCACTGTGCTGCCCCGCCGTCTCAACCCGTATCATCCCTCGGGGGAGGGGAAGGATATTCTTCATACGTCAAGCTATCTATACGCACGAGCGTTCACGCACGCACGCATGCACGCACGACCGCGCGCTAGGGCGGCTTGTGTTTGCATCAATTTGCGCGATGAGCCACGTGCGAGCAAACTGTCGCAATAGGCGAGGATTTCTCGCGGCGTTAAAAAAAAAAATAATAATAATAATAATAAATGCGGCTAATAATAATAAAACAATGCGGCAATTTTAGATTTTACGCTTGATTATGATCAATAAATCTCTCACATACATACATGTTCACACGGGAGAGATGCTCGACAACTTTGTAAACTTGTTTTTACTGATCGAAGCTTTAAAAGCGGAGAGTTTTGCATTTTTCTTAGGCCGTGTGCGAAAGATATCAAGTTTTTTTTTTTTTTTTCAAATGCAACTAGGCGTTTCTCGTCGATAACGATTTTACGAACCGCACGTGTCCGAAGACACGTACGATCGTAATATCGTGCGCAAAGTGGTTTTCTGTCGCTCGATCGTGCGATGCCATCGGATATCGAAGTATCGTGACGAATCACCGACTAGTCGGCAGAGGAAAAAAATTACAGATCGAAATTACAAAATTCGATTTACGTCGCACATTGGTTTAACCTCCTGTCGCCGAACGGAAAATACAACGTCTGGTTTTAAAGGTTTTCTGTAATAGTATTCCAGCGGATCACACAGAGGAAACACGTAGACATGCCATACGTAAACCGCGCGCATACACGTGTACGATATACGTGGCGGCGAACCGGGGGTTTCTCGGTGTCCCCAGAGAGTGATCGAGTGGATTGCCTTGACGTGCGCAACTCTCCGCACCTGAAAGTCACCTCCAAACTTCCCTCCCCCGGATTCCACGTTCCTCTTTCTCTTCCTTCTGTTCCTCCCCTCCCTGAAAGCGGTCAGTTCCTCTTTGTCTCCTCGCGTCTCCCACTCGTCGTCCTTTGTCTTTCCGCGTGTCTACTCCCAACAGCAGGGAACGAGCGCCCTCGGACAGGAAGATAAGTGATCGTCGAAATTGTGCGCTTCGGCAAGAAGCTACCGCGTGGTCTCGAGAAACAAAAAAAGTGTCATTCGTATCCTTTGTTATCACGTCGGCACACTTTCCATCGCCTGCAAGAATTTCATTTTGCAGATATCTAATAATCGTATCTGTTTTTCTCTCACAAAGACATTTAAACACAATAAAGTATATAAGGAATAAAATATATAAATTAATATTTATATAAATTACTTTTTTACAATTTTTTAAATATACTTCTGACTGATTATGTTGATCGAAATTTTGTTTCGTTGCGCTTCATTATTAAAAACTACCTGTCGCCGCAAGTAATTGATTATTTATGACTTTCTGATATCGCTCGCGCGCGCATCGAGCGTGACGATTACGGCACAGTGAGTCTCTGGTAAGAATGGCAAACGGGAAATAAAAGTGACCGTATGAATGAATCCTTTGAATTGGCACGTAGGCTGTGGACGGAGGGGAGGAACCACGCCCGCGTTTCTCGTGGGAATAACAAGGGTGAAAACAAATCCTCCAATCACGGTACGCGCGTCGCTCGCACATGGCTATAGTATTCTAGTATTCTTATCATATAAAGTGCTGTTGAGGCATGAAAGCTTGATTGATATAACACGTATTGCGTTTTACATAGATATACGTACATGTAAGACTCACAATAGGTTTAAAATATTCGCATCAGAGAAAAGTCGACTTCGGTTATATTTGATTAAATAAAATCGAAATGTATTGTAACTTCTCAATTTGTAGAAAGACCTATATGGAATAAATATATGATTTGTAAGATCTACGAAACGAACTCTAGTTTCGAAAGTTTTACAATTTTTTTTTTTTTTTAGAACAATATGTCAAGCAAATGTCGTTAGATAAATGCGAAAGAATTATGGTAATTAATTCTTTCACATCGGTTTAACATACAATCTTATAGACATGATGCTTTTTTTTATGCAGGATCTCATACAAGCGTCACAACGATTTGATCATTCTTTGAATTCTCGCGTGCGATCTAACACAAAAGAAAACATCTTATACCGCAGACTTAAATGTGTATATATCTTACTTATAACATTACATTAATTTGTTAGATACGTTAAACCTTGACAATGCGAATCTAGCAAATATTTGTAATCATATACAGACAAAAGGTATAAAAACAATAACTTTGATTACTTTACCAAAAAGATCAAAACACAATAGTAAACCCTCGATTTTACGAACTTTTTCGAAAACTAACAATTTATCTCAATTTCAAGATTAGTATCAAAATTAAATCGTATCTAATATCTTTGGACACATGAGACACATAATAGATTATTATAGAGAAATTTACATTAATTACATTAACTAATCGTCTCAATAAAAACATTAACCAACAGATATATATTTCTTATCTATTCACAAAAGGTTTTCAGGTACGAGTGTGTTTCAGGCTTTGTAGTTGCCTGCATGCACGCGTCGTTAACCCCTCAATATTCACTAAATCCGTTAAATCGAAGATCTACTTGTATCGTAATTATAATAGTAAAATGTTATATTTACAACCGCGTTTGCCTCATGTTTAAATAAATATATCGTTAACGTTGATGGTGTCTACATTCCAAACTTACAAAAAACGCAAATGATGACAAACTACTTGCATCGTGATCTCAAATATTTTGAAAAATTCGATGCAATATTTACTAATAAAAAATATACTCGAATCTCTCTCATATACACAGTTAGTATACTGTGATCATGTAATTCATTTTGGAAAAATCATTAGCCCGGAAAATGAAAGTGGAAAGCGTTAGGGAAACCGTCCATAAACGAGCCAGCAGTGAATGCGTTGCTACCAAAACCGCCGTCTTGGGAGAAGAAGTGAAACATTGCGTTAGAATCCATATCTGCAAATCAAGACGAAACAAATATAAAAATATACAAGATAGCATAGAATATATCTGATATATTAATTATTGCCACACGCATATAAAAAGCAAGTCATTTACCAACCTTGAAAACCACTCTCGTTATCATCTAGATCATGACCGCGGTCATAGCGAGATCGTTTCTTAGGATCTGACAGAATACCATAGGCTTCACCGACTTCCTTAAACTTTTTCTCTTGTTCCTTCTTTTCTCCTTCGCTCGCATTTGCGTGACGATCTGTGAAGCAAATGATGCGATATAAAAACCAATACAAATTATAATAATTATACTAATAATTTATATAACTGTTAAGTAATAATTATAATTTAGTAATTGCATTTACCTGGATGATGATCTAGTGCTCGTTTTCTATAAGCCTTCTTGATATCTTCAGTTGACGCATTTTTGTCGATACCGAGAATCTTGTAATAATCTTTTCTCTTAGACTTCCTCAGCAGTAATTTTGCTTTAGCAAGCAACCGTTTTGTTTCTACGCGCGCAAGAATGATACAACAGAAAACAATTAATAATTTATATTGCCATTTTGTTTGTTACGTGTTAGGATTAAAAGCAAAATTTGTACCGCGATTGTTTTTATCCATTTTACACGCTTTTTCGAGATCTCGAACTGATTCTTCGTATTCTTCCAGGTCCATGTAAATGGATGCTCTTTTGAGAAGAGCTTTCAAATAATTTTCATTGAGTTTCAGAGCTTCTGTGCACTCTTCTAAAGATTCTTTCAACTTCCCTAACTGAAAACAAAAGTTTTACAAATTTGCTGCACATTTTGAAGATATGTAATAAATTATATTGTGTATAAAACTAATATTTAAATAGACATAATAAATTTTAAAAACAAGCACGTGCGCAATACCTTAGCTGCAACTGTTGCTTTGTTGAAATGCAATTTCGCATTAGTCATGATATTGTGTGGGTCAATTGTCAGAGCTTCATTGTAAAGATCATATGCTTCCTGATACTGTTCTTTTTTAAACGCTGCATTGCCGTCTTCTTTTTTCTTTTTTAGACATTTTGCTCTCTAATAGAAAAAAAAAAACAATATATGAAACACGGTATTACTACTACATCATTTAATGTATCAATGAAAAAATACGTCTCTTTTTTTACTTTATATATTTCCAAGGCTTTAGTATGATCTGGTGCAAGTCGCAATACTTGTTGGAAATGGGTAAAAGCTCTGTCAATATCATCCTGGAAATATAAACACATTCCACGGATGTATATTGCATCCGCGTTTTGCTTATCCACATGTAAAACATCACTGAAATTAAGATAAAGATTATAAATCACATATTCTCATTGCATATAAGAACAAACAATATCTCAAAATTTATAAATTAAAGTGCAAGTGAGAGCATTCTTACTTTGCAAAATCCTGAGCTTCTTGATATCTTCCTAAAAGAGCTAAACATTCAGCTTTGATTAACTTGAATCGCGTACCAGATGTACTTATGTCACAACAACGATCCATACAGTACACAACCTGCAAAAAAAATAAATAAATAAATAAAATCAGTATTTAATTCTGTACTAATCGAATACAACTACAAACTGTTACCGCAAGAAACTTACTTTGCGAAAATCTTTAGCATTATATGCATTCTCACCATCCTCACTATATTTTTGTATCCATTGTATATCGGCTAGTATATTTTCCTTTTTTATTTGTTCATTGTTTGGATCAAATTGCAGTAATTTGTTCAATATGGTCTCAGCTTCTACAACGTCACCCAAAATCAAGGAACACTTGATTGCTCTTACATAGGCCTAGAAATACATATAAATAATTTAATTTATAAATTTATTGACAAGTAATAAAATAAATAATGAAATAAATAAATGCAACAACTTTAGAAAACTCAGGCTCTAGTTCCATAGATTTCTTAGCATCTGCCAATGCATATCGGTATTGTCCAAGCATCATGTAACATGCTGTTCTATTGCTATAGTAACGTGATTCTTCAGGGCACAAACCTGAAACATTTTATACAAAGCTCATTAAAATTACATAATAACTAAAAATTAAAAGATAAAAATCCAAATTAATGTGAACAATATAAATATTATTATTTATAGTTTAAAAGATACATAGTTTAAAATACTTGAAAAAATACTACAAAATATTTACCAATAGCTTCATTATAACCAGCCAATGCCTTCTTATATTGCTTCTGTGCATATAACTTATTGGCAAGTTCCTTTTTAGATTCTGCTAATCTAAACAGATAATAAATTCATTATCTTTTAGCTGAATATTCTTTGTTGTATAACAAAAGGTAACTTTTTAACATTAATTGATACTCGAAAATTAAAATAATTTAAAACAGGCAATACGAGTAATATATTAGGTCTTATTGTATTTGAAGATCTCGATAAAGAAGTATAAAAACGTCTAGAATTTTTTTTATATATTAATTTACAAAATAAACCAAATACAATAAGATTTAGTACATTACTTATATTACCTGGTGTTTAAATCATTTTAATTTTTTAATATTTAAATAGAGAACACATATCATACACACACACACACACACAAAAACAAAAGCAAATGAGTGAATTGTTTGATGAATAGATCACACCCAACATCGACACAAGAGATATAACAAGAAGCAATAGTAAGCAATCAATTTGTCGCTTTACCGTAAGAACAATAGTATGATTGGCTATCTACATTGGCTATGTGCAAGCGCCATTAGTCTCACGTTGTCACATATGTATATAATAGAAATTATCATTTTTAAATCTTATCTACAGAATACATAAATATATGCGGAAAAGACGCAATGACACAGATTCTATAACACACAGAAAATTCGCAAAAGCAGAGCTTCTTGTTTGGTTCGTATACACATGCGTGACGAATATACGAATACGCGTATATTTGCGTCACAAATGTATATGCGAGAATTGTTCATCAGAAAATTAGAAAACGAAATTAGATCTTATTGATGAGGCTACTCACTCTTTGATGTTTTCACAATTTAATGTCGACATAGAAAGATCCAGCGGAGAATCGGGACTAAGGTCAGTTGCGCCAGACGACGCCATGGCTGTAATATGCGATGTGATTAGATCGTTGTCCAACAGGAATATCAGGAACTACCACAAACGCAACGTGAAGTGAGACCTTCGTGCGACTTCGGCTCGTTCGTTCGGAGCGCTCACGAATATCGACGAACATTCACGAGCTAGCCGAGTCATTACGAGCTAGCCTTTAAGTTTTGTTTGGACGAATTATTCGAACGCGATTGGTCAAGTGATCAGAATTGTCCAAACACGTCGACTGGCAATTGGTCAATTTTTAATCTCCGAGATCTTCAGTCCGGTTTCTAACAGCAATTATTCTAGAAGTTTTAAGCGGAAGATCCCTTCTAGAATCATTTTCGGGGGACGGACACGAGGCCTTTCAGTAGTAAGTTTTGCATCAACTCCTGTAGCGGTTCTGCAGTCAGTCTAATAATTCTCTAACTTCGAAGCCAGTTTCAGAACGAGATAATCTATTTTGTGCCGTACATGCAGATAAATTTGTTAAACTTGTACTTTCAAATAACAAATCAAATTACACAGTTTGATATTCAGTTTTTAACGCGATCGGTCAATTTGGAACTAACGCTACATCGAATCGAATAAATCGAGTTTGTGCGGTTCGTTGTAAGCGCGTGGTCATTGAGAATGCAAATGATTCGTAAAGTGCATGCAAATCATACGAGACAATTGTGCCTTGGAGGTGGTGCGTAGTTCTCTTCAATATCGCCCCGCTCAGTCTTACATGTAGCAAATTTGTTCTGCGAATATCGAGAGTTGTAAAAAATTATAGTTGTATAGTGTGATATTGTTTCGTGCAACATTACCGACAGGTGGAAGGCAGGTATGTGACGTCACGCATTTGTCGCCCGCGATGCCTGTTGGGGAGGCACGATCAGCCATCTTGAAAATGGATTTTATACAGTGTGCGTGCTAGGAATATGATTCTTATACGATTCAAAAGACATTAGTTTTACGCTGCTCCGAAAGACTTGTGCAAGATTTAATGGCTACTACGCGGGATCACCCCTCCTGTCCCATGATGGAGGTGGTGAAAGCGTTTACTTCGGAGGTAAGTAAAATTGCAGAAAGACTCTCTTTGCACGTCGTAGAGGTCATCGTAGGTGCAGCTTCTTTTTAATCTTCGTTAGCTAGTTTACGGATTTGGCTTGTCTTATTTTATCTCGCGCTCTGATTCTGATCTCGCGCCTACCGACCGTATCTTTTGAAAAGAGATGCGTATTTATCGAAACTTGTTCCTTTTTTTTTTTAATGCGGCTTCGTTCTGTCTTACCGAATTCCAAGCCTTCGCTCGTGGGAGATCGCGACTACGTGCATATTCTTACCACCTTCGTCGCGTTGCCTCATGTGAATTGTTTTCAAAGATTACTCGATTGTTTGTGCCAAAATGATGAAAGTAACTATAATTATGTTGAACAAACCTGCGTCTATGAATTATTAAGTAATAACAATAAGATAAATGTTTTGATTTTGTATTTTTTCTCACTTCGAATCTGTGTATACTCTCAGCGTTGTACTCGATGCTATTTCTTGGTGCATTAACCGCAATACGCATCAGTAGCAATATATTGATATTTTTATTGAAATATGTTACAATTTTCTTTTATTTATGGTTTTAATTTATTTTGTAGTTGCGATGAAAGAAATCAATCATGAAGAACAATTTTTATACAATTTTCTATTGTACAATTGTAATAAGTATATTGCTTTTCTGAAGAATATAACTTATGATTTTTATGATTGCAGCTATCTAGTCTCTACGAAGTGAAACCGCCTATTTCGAAAGCCAAAATGAATTCCTTGACAAAGGGAGCTATAAAAGCAATAAAATTTTACAAGCATGTTGTACAAAGCGTTGAGAAATTTATTCAAAAAGTAAGTATTTATTTTAAAAAGTTTTTGTTTATTATGTATAGTTCTTTTTTTATGATAACACTTAATTCTATTTTTAGTGCAAGCCAGAATACAAAGTACCAGGATTATATGTAATAGATTCAATTGTTCGACAATCCCGACATCAGTTTGGGGTAGAGAAAGATGTATTTGCTCCGCGGTTTGCAAAAAATATGCAGGCTACTTTTCTTAATCTTTTAAAATGCCCACAAGAGGATAAAAGCAAAGTTATACGTGTACTGAATCTTTGGCAAAAGAATGCAGTTTTTCCACCAGAAGTTATTCAACCACTGTTTGATCTGGCAGATCCAAATCATCCAGCACACAAGGAACAGTCTGTAAATAGCAATGGTAAATATAAATACAATAAAAACTGTACTAAAGAAAAAAAGATATATTTTAATATTTTGCAGCAATATTTTGTTGGAAAAAACATGTATATTTATTTTACATACTTTTATTTTCTAGGAACATTGAATGCATCTTCTGGAAACAACATGAGTAATATAAGTGCTGTCAGTAAGACTCCGCCGTCTGCAATGAAAAATACTGTTAAAGATCCAAAATTGTTTCCACCTGGAAAAACAATTGACCCAGCATGGCTTGCACAAACAAAGATGGAAGCGGCAAATATAGTAAATGTAAATAAAGTTTCGATACTATATTGTTATTTTTATTTATATTATGATTACTCGAGAGAGACTTAATAAAATTTTTATTGCTATTTACAGAATCAGCCTAACTCGGGTCAAATGGATCCTACTATCCTCGATCAGTTACGTCAAATTTTTATGAAACAACAGCAGGATCCCGTCAATGAACCAAAGAGTTCCGTCAAGTTTGATAAGAAGTTATTAGATTTTGATTATGGTGAAGAAGAAGACGATGATGTTGTTGTCACTAGTTCTCCAAACATAGCTGCCACAACTAATACGCAACACAATACAGTCTCAACAAACAGTGGTTTAGAGAGCCTAGGAGTGTTGCTGACAAATCCCGAGGTACTTAAAATTGAATTAAATAAATATTAGAAATAACTAGTCGGTATCTAACATTTCTATTGTATATAAACAATTTTCATTTGTAGGTTTTGAGACAATTGCATAGTTTACAACAAACTATGCAAAGTAATGCTTCCTCTTCGCAACACGAAATAGAAGAAAAGTTACGCAAGCTTCAACAGATGAAGCAGCAAGAAGAAGAATTTGATAAACATTTAGCACAAACTGTTCCTGTAAGTTGCCTGTACAAATAAATTGTCCTACGCTTCTTTTTCTTTCTTCGAAATATGCTCGTCAGTGAACGATATTTATACATAGGATGTTCTCTTGTATGTTTCAGAACCTTCCTTTTGCATCTGAATGCGAACTGAAACCTTCTGATATTTTGAAACCAAGCACTCAGAATTATACTCCAAATGTGAACAGCAATGTGATACAAGATATGACCCAACCGCTACCCAATTATTCGTCAACTCTGCCATATACATCACAATCGTTATCGAACATTAGACAAATTAATCAACCTACAAATCAAAAGAGTCCATTGCTTGACGAGCGTCAAGAAACACAGGATTATTCTGGGTAAATGCATTTACAATTTAATAAGTTTGTATTTTTTATTTTTTTTCTTATATGACAAGTAATTTTTATTTATTCAATGGTGTATTTTACAGGAACAGCACCAGACGTGATAGTAGCGTAGAAATTGTTAATTGCGAGAACACGAGCTTGCAAAGTAGATCGCCAGAGCGATATCGACATCACAGTCGATCCCGATCTCCGCGCCACAGAGATCGAGATAAGGATCGAGATCGAGATAGAGATAGGAAGTCTCGATCTAGGAGCAGATCGCGGCGAAGAAGGTAATAATTTTGGTTAAAATCATTTATATTTATATAAAATTATTTATCATTTATATAAAAAACAAATAAATTATTTTCAAAATTAAAAGACGGAAAACACTTAAAGACAAAAGGAAATTTGAAAGTGATTAAGTAATTAATATATTTTTATACTTAATTGCATATGTATTATATATGTATTCTCTCTTGTAGATCTCGTTCAAGAGACAGAGGTCGTGATAGAAAACGCGATGACAGTCGAGATAGGATGACGGAAGAAGAACGGGAAAAAGAAAGGGAGCGACGCAAACGTGGTTTGCCGCCAATAGTCAGGGAAAAACTAAGTGGTACGTGTTGTAAAATACAAGAAAGATTTTTACATAAATCATAGGTAAATAGTAAAATCTAAATTGCACATTTCTTTTCAGTTTGCAGTACAACACTTTGGGTGGGACATTTATCGAAACTTGTGCATCAAGAAGAATTGTCGGATACCTTCGGACAGCATGGTGATATCGTTAGCATAGACTTAATTTCGCCGAGAGGTTGTGCATTCATCTGCATGAATAGGAGACAGGATGCGTATCGAGCGCTTACGAAGTTGAAAAATCACAAGATGCAAGGCAAAAATATTACGGTAAATAATTTGACTTGTGCATATAACTTGTGAATATACATGTGTACAGTAATACTTAGTGCACGCATTTGTAACTTGTATTTTGATTATAGTTGGCATGGGCGCCTGGTAAAGGTGTGAAAGGAAAAGAATGGAAAGATTATTGGGAAGTGGAGTTGGGTGTCAGTTACATCCCTTGGATCAAATTAACTAATATTACCGATCAAGAATTAGAGTTACTGGAAGAAGGCGGAATGATAGACGAAGACACATTACCTGCTCACTTGAAAGGTGCGTTTTCATTTAAGACAATATAGAAACATGCGCATGCAAGTTCAATTCAGTTATACATAGCACAATTTGATAGTGTGTAACTACTTGAAACTTGCAAGATTAAAATCAGAGTGATTTGAGCCAAGTGAAACTCCACTAATTCAGATTGGTCAAGCAAGCTCCGAACAATTTTACCTGAGAATAAAAGCACTACCAATTGTTTTATATTTGTTTTTTTTCGAAAATAATTGCAATAATATATCAGGATTTACAATTCCTGAACTGAAGAACCACGTTTCTTTCTTTACAGGAAAATTAAAACATGCTGGCACGAGTGCAGACATGCTGCAGCAACAGTTGCAACTGCAACAACAAGCGCTTGTTGCCGCGGCAAATGCTGGCGCTCCTATTCCGACTTTAACAGACGGCATCGTAAACGTCATACAATCGTCTGCTAATTCACAACAGCAGCAGCAACAGCAAATGATCGATACCAGTCAACCGCCGCCGATCAGACCACCGACATCGGGTGCTTTGCTGCCACCTCCAAACACGCAGTTACAAATGATGCCTGGATTTACAATGCCTGGAGTACCAAGTAAGTTATCGAAAATATATCTCGGAATGAAACAAACCATAACAAAAATAGTCAATATGTAAGTATCCATTATATTTTTTAATATTTATGTTTTTTGTATTTTTTAACATTTTGATAGGTTTAAGTAAGTTTTTTTTTATAATTCTGCTTTTTAATTTTGAACAACGTGCGGTGTAATTTTCTCTTATACATGATCAATCTTATCCTACAGGAATGATTAGCCACATGGGCCTACAGATGACGCAATTAATGACGAACGTTCCAATCGGAGTCCCGCCACCTAATATGCAGAGTCTACTAGGACCACCCGGTATGATGCAGACTATGTTGACACCTTCGGTTAATCCACCATTTGGAACAGGTGTTGGCGTAGGTCTACTGACAACACAGATTCCACTGCCAGCACCTGCAGCGCCTTCCGACAAACCAAACTCCACCGGTATGAATGTTCCGTTAAATTGTTAAGCGTTGATCATGCATTGAATATAAAACAAAAATATTACAATGTAAAATGTGAAATTGGTCAATAAAGTTAATTTATGTTAGCCAAACAGGGACACAAGAATTCTGAACGTTGCAGGTATGCCGCACAACGTTCCACCTATTGGAGTACCACCACCTACAACGGAAACTAACATGCCGAACTTGCCAATGTTGCGACAACCATATGGAGTAGGTCCAGCACCGCCGATGCAGGTACAGCTACCGCAACATCATTCGGATGATATGGATGTGGAGATGGAGGACGCAATGTCGCAAAACATAAACAGTAACGTGCCCAAGGAGAAACCACCAACCCTTCTCAGCGATCAGCTGATCGCGGCGATAAATATGAACAGCAACGTGAGCGAAAGTCTGGATAGCGATCAGACGCGTGAGTACAAAGAACGAGAGCGGGATCGAGAAAACAGAGAAAGAAGAGATCGAAGCGATCGGGATCGTAGTGACCGCATGGACATGAACGACTGCAGAATGAATCGCAGCAGAGACAGAGGTAGGGGACGTGATCGTGGACGGGACAGGCGGAGAGATAACCGTGAAGGTCGCGATAGAGACAGAGATGACAGACGCGACAGAGAAAATCGAGAATCCCGGGAGAGCCGAGATAGTAGCGCCAGACACTCGGAAGGGCCGAGCATACAAAATCAAAATATTCACGAAGACGAAAATATAGCGAAGAAAGAAAGCAAGCCCAGTTTAGCGGATCGTCTACTACAATTAGCGGATTGTACATTACCGTTAGACGATCGGATGGATAGAAATATGCGTGGCAATCGATCTGATCGCAGTAACGAACGGAACGACAGAAGTTTCGAAGAGGGTTCTGGAGGAGGAGGAGGAGGAGGAGCAGGAGCAGGAGGAGCAGGAGGAGGAAGTGCAGCTGCAGCTGCAGTTGCAGCTGCGGGTAGTAGTGGAAGTGGAGGTGGAGGACGACGACCACCTAATGATATGCTTTCATTGATGGATCTGCCAAAGTATGGCGGAGCATTGCCTGCAGACCGAACGGATTTCCCGCGAGGACCAGATTTTCGAGGTGGTCCGCAGGACGCGAGAGATTTCTCACAGCGTAATCTCAACGACAGGCAGAATTTCCCACTTTCGCGGGGTGGTCTGAGGAGTGATTACCTCGAGATTGACGAATTCGTGAATCCTCGGATGCAACCTGGCATTTTTCCTGAGGACTACGAAAATAGATTAGGCCACAATGGGCCTAGATCTGATGATTTTCCATCGGGCAGATTAGGTCCGACACAAGAATTCGAGCGATCGGAAGTACGTGGTCGCAGACCACCTGTGGATGAATACGAACGTAATCGTTTCGAGTATGAGATGAGACGCGACGGATTTAACCCGCGGATGCAAGACGGCTTTGATCCAAGAGGTCATAATGAGCGTTCCGACTTTGAACCCCGCAGAAGAGAGTTCTTTGGTGCTCCGATGGAAGCTGTATTCGGATTGCCACCCCCATTAATGGGCCCGAAAGGATCCAGAGGACCTGGTCCTGAAGGATTTGGACCGCGTGGAGCCAGAGTACCTGGTAAGATCATTTTTTCATCTTTGTAATTGCTTAGTATGCGTTTAAATATACACATAAGAAAGAATGTTTAGGTTGAATTTTAGGCTAGTTTTTTTTCTGTATCTTTCAGATGAACAAAAATGTAGTAACGTATAGTTCCACGACGATCGAAGCTCAAACATTGTTTAGTTTATAAAATGGCATTTTTTTAAAATCTAATGCTATCTATTTTATATTTACAGATCTATATACACATGTTTATGTTTCATGAAACTTGAATACAAACTGAAATATCGCGACATATCTTTTTTAGGTCCCATGTTATTCCATCCGAGGGGTATGGGTCCGAGGGGTATGAGAGCCGGAATAAGACCTCCGTTCCCGCCTCGAGGTCCACTTTTTGATCCTAGGGAAGCAGACTCGTTCTTCCGACCACCATTCGACGACATGCGCGGTCGTCCAGGACATATTCGGCCTCCATTCGGTCCCATGGGTCCACCGGCCATGCATCCTCCGGATGGACCGTGGAGAAATCAGGAAGGCAGCGGACCATCATCTTCATCATGGGGTGGTCAAGAACATGACAATTATGGACAATGGGACAATCATCCTGCAAGAGACAAGCAAAAGTTCGCAAAACATCAAGATTATAAAAATCTGCCTGAACGGGAGAATCGTAACCGGAACCGCAAGTCCAGATGGGGAAATGTTAGTCCACCGCTAACGGATGACGTGGACGAGATGCCGTCGGAAGAAAACAAGACAGAGACGTCTGAAGGACAAGTGAAGGATATTATTGAGGCACCTAATCAACAGATTCTTCTGAGAGAAAATGAATCGATAGCTGACAAGCAGGATGTAATGCATGACAACAGAGAAAGTGAATTTGCAAATTTATCGAATGATAAGAGCAATATTGAGGCCAGTTATAAACACGACGAAGGTCAGTCCAGTTCCTATGAAATTGGTACGGATCATTTCTCAAGCGACGCTTTAGCGCTAACGCAGCAGGGTGAACAGGAGCAGTGTGAATACGAACCACCCATTCCAGCTGAGGATTCAGCGCAGCAAAGTGCAGTCAAAGAAGTAGGGCACGCGAGTGAGAACTGTAGTGAACAATTAGTGGGACAAGCGGATTCGTTATAAACAGAGAAAAGAGAAAGAAAAAGATATTAATTTGATATTGGAATTACCAAAGTAATGTAACGAATCCTCGGGCGAATACATGTAAAATATCGTTTAATCGATACACACACAATGTACATAGAGTGCTGCAAAGAGCGAATGAGAAAAGAAAGGAGAAAGAGAGAGGAGAAAAAAAAAGTGAAAATTATGCGATTTTATGGACTCAAAGTTATATCGCACTCTGGAGTGGTGGGGAAGCCGTTGGGTTCAGTGAGTTAAATCTTTCACAGAGTCGTCAGAGTATTCAATTAACTCGCGTAAGTCTTAAAACTAAATTTCTTCCCAATTGAAATCTGCTGCTCTCAAATAATTACTGTGATAGTGAACACAGGATACCTGTTAACTATGTAGATGTGTATATATATATATGTACATATATATACAAATATTCAGTTTTTAATCAAAATTCTTTTTCTCGTACTATACTTATTTTCTTACTTTTCATAAAAGGCAATCTTATTAGAATTCTATAACTATATATAGATACAAATATTTGAATGAATTCTACTCATACCAGAGATGCCAATTCTTATCTTTTTGTAGTTTTATTGAAGAGTTTAATGTAATTAGTTTTTTCGAATCACGTATCGGGTATTGTACGGCGTATTATACCTCATGCCCTCTGGATGAGGATTAATTTATTGAATTGTAATTGTAAATATTTTTATATTTTCGTAGCAGAAAACAAAAAACGTAAATAAATGTAATGTGCTGATTGCCATTGCTCAATCAAAGAGAAAAGAACGAAATAAATATTTTATATATAACGGCTCTTTTTAATAACAAAAGAAACATGGCCTTGTTATTCTGATATATGAAACATAGTTCCCGATCACGACAAAACGGAAGCGACAAACTAAAGTCTATATGTGTATAATATACGGATTGTATTCCTAGGCATCTACAAACACATGTACATAATTCATTTTAAAAAAGTCTTCTTGCTCTGTTAATTAATCTTTTATCGATTATCGCAAATTACCTTCTTTTCTTAGATTCCATGCAAATCAATGACGCAAAGTAGTTTTAACATCAAGTCCGGTACATAATTTTTCATTCTGCACGAGAAAATTTAAGATTGTTCTATTTGGGAAAAGAATACACACATGATTGTGTAAAGAGATATAGCGAATTTTGTATGCGTATACGCGCTTCCACTCTATATAACTTTCACACATACAACAACAAACACCAAACTACTTGGTTCCTGTGTTCACGTACGCACGTATTGCACGGCGCAGCGATGGAAGACACGTGCTTGCGCTCAAACTGAGTGACAAGTGCAAGGTACTGTTAACAATTATTTTCACATACCATTAGTTGAGGAATGTGACACTAAAAATGATTTTTAAGAGGGTTATTGCCGTCGTGTTAGTCCGCACCACTCCAGGACAAAGTCAGTTACGCATATATATATATATTGAACATTTAATTAATTATTGTATATCTTTAATAAGTAGAGTAACAATTTATCGCTGACTCAAAACATGGAATTGTATTGATGAATAAACTTTCGGTAGTTGTGACGTCCAATCCAATGTTTCAGTTAGATTTAATTGAAGTCAACCAAATCGAGTTTTTCGATTCTGAAACATTATTAGACGTTCACTTTTGCGCTTTTAACGACGAACAAAAACTGGATTGTTAAGAGATTGATTAACGTGTTAGATACTTTCTAATAAATCGTTAAAACGGGAGCTAGAGCATCACGCAATTTTACTGTAACAACAATATTTGATATTTCTTCGTTAGAACGCATGTGCCTTTATTTTTTGCTTCAACTTATTTTACATAAGTTTTGTCTGACGCAATCAAGTGGATTTCTTATATGCGACTTCTATAAACAGATACAACCATCGTATTTTAAGAGCGTATACTTAATAAACATAACAAGTACAAGAGTTGACAAACTTCACTTTTCATTACTAACATGGTGGTATCTATTATATAGCATTGACACAATTTTGTTGACAAGTTTCGTAAAATTATGATATATATATCAGTACATATTATATTGTAATTATAAAAAGTTCTGTAAAATGTATTAAGCAGCCAAATAATGTACTGGCAACTGATTATATGTAACGTGTTTGCTTTTTAATTCATTTTGTGTTGTAAATTACAGTTCAAATATCAGGTTTTTGAATTATATGTATAAGTCAGTAGAACTCGGATTTATTATTATTTATTCAATGTGTAGTATCGTTTGTTTTCTTATATATGTACTATACATATTAAAAAGATGCACTAACTATAAACACATTTCTTAAAATCGTAAAATTTAAGAACTAATAAACCTGGAGTGGTGCGCGGCACTGCATTTTCTAGGACTTGCTATTAAAATAGGACAATGTTATAAATTGTAAATGTACAGAATTTGTTTTGAAGCAATTTTTTTTCATGATTTCTATACTTTCTTTATAATTCTAGAATTTTGTATATTTAATTCTTAAAACAATAGTTACATCTTTAATCTTGCAATATTGTTCATACAATATTTTTATTAGTATTTTTTTAATAGATATAATAAGGCCAATTGTGTGTTTGCGTGTGTGATTAAAACTTTTTTTTTGTGCTAAAACTTACGCGTATTAGCAGAGCAATTATTAGCATTTGTTTAATTCATGAGCGCTTAGTTTAATATAGAGAACTATAATTAAATATTTTTATGTATGTGTAGTCATTTTTTTTCATTTCAAGAAAAAATACTTGACTTATAAATGATACTAAATAATATTTAATATACTAACATTAAACTTTTTTATATAATCTTATTAAATTACTGACATTATTGCAGTAATTTTGAACATAATTTTTTATAATTTTCAATTTTTGAAATCAGTGATTGTTTGATTTATACATACACACAGAAAAGCAGTATGTGCATCTACAAAACTCTATATTACACACATATATATATATATATATAATATATACATATATAGACACATATATACATATGTATATATATATATATATATAGGTAAGTATTGATAATTTAGAACTTTTATAATATTTTTTTTTTAATTGCACACAAGATACATGTATATATCTCACAAACAAATTATACATGCAATACTATATTTTTAAGATTACATTGATTTTTATTTCTTAAATGCTTTAAATTTTTGTGAAAATAATGCATGATTATATTTAAAAAATATAACAAAACAATACACCAAAGTAACTTTCCTTTCCTTCTTGAAAGATGGGCAAAACACGACGAGATAATTGTTAAAAAAGTTTTTTATTTTAGTATTAATTTCAAAAACTTTGTATTATAAACAATAGTAGATTTGTGCTATAAATTATAAAAAGTAATGTATCTGGTTAAGAAGACAACAAAATATTAAACAACACTAGTAGTTTACAATATCCATTATAAATTTTGTATAAGTATATATAAATCACAATTATATTATAACATCAATCTTTCGGTATACTACAGGCTGAAAATACGTAAGCTACAAAAATCGAGCTTATATTGGACATACGTATAAGATAATCGAATACATATGAGTCATAAGCACGATAATCGCTATTGCAAACATCCTAGGAACTTTAAGTTTTTACTTTTATAACATAAGAAAAATTTTAACGCGACAGAAAAGAAACTTGTACGTCTATGCAGCCGTAAACGGCCAGTAACGTTAGTGGCGTTAAATGTAAAAATGATACAAACATTCACATTTTCCGTGCAATGTAGATATAAAGTAGATTTTGATATATATATAAATTACACGGAAATATATGTGTATTAAAAGTGTAGGTCAATCTGTAGAAAAAAAAACTATATATGATACCAGATACATTACCTTGGTATTGTTACAGTGTGAATAATTACTGTCTAATGAAGAGAAAGAGAAATAAGTGAGTAAATAGTACGGTTTTCAGTGTGTGTTTAACGTTATTATATAAGAAAACAAAACCTTGTAACTCATATTAACACATAAATAAATACGTGAATTATATTGATCAGCGTGTGATACATTTTTGTAAACTCCCAATATTATAGAAGAGATATACAGTAAACTATCAAATTATCGAATGTTTTTAAATGCACAAGTTTTTAACGCATACATAATATACTCGACACACACGCATTCAAACACATATAAGTATGTATATTTGAACATTTTTTAAGTAAAGCAGTTTACATATTTATATGATATATGTAATTACGTATCAAATTAGTTTGCATAAGTTTTAATATAAATGTTATAAGATATACAATGTTTATTTTTGAAAATTAAAACTGCTTCTGAAATATTACATTCACACGTAAAGTTCACAAAAAGTTCCTATTTTATATATATATATATATTATATATAAAATTTAAAAATAAATCAATTGTGTTGAATAATAATAAAAACATTTAATAGGAAGCAATTATATCGGAATTATTTAATTGATAACAAGAGTTAGGTTTTTTCTAAATTTTGTCCGCCGAATTCGAATTTGATATTTCGATGTTGCTTCATCATGTCAACATTTTATGGTAAATAAAAAACAAAATTTTCTTGAAAAAGGCGAGTTTGATAACGGCCCCTTGTTTTTTTTCGCAAATAAACTAAGTTTTGTTTTACTTTATCTTATCATTATAAGATATAATCTTTAATTTTGAAACTAGTCTTATTATTTATCTTAATGTGATTGCAAAATTTTGAGATTTGCGGACAAAAAATTACTGCAAAAAAGCCAATATTTCAAAAAAAAGTTCCTAAAATAAAAAATCTGTAGGCCTATGTATGATTGTATATGATTGATGCCTACATCAACAAATTTCATACATCTTTCATATCCGCATACAAATAAATCATTTATATATAGTCGTTTAAACTTAATCTTTTTTTTCTTGTGTTACAGCTTCAAGTGCTTTTATTGCACTCAATCTTTCAGTGACAGGTGGATGTGAATGATGCCACATTGAGTACAACTTGTCGTACAAAGGATATCCCAAATTATCCTTTTGTAACTTCAACAAACCCGACCTTAAGTTTTTGCCGTGGCCCAATTTTGTGGCAAATTCGTCTGCTTGAAATTCAAATCGTCGGCTCAGTACCACAGTAATAAAACCGAAGATCTGAAAAAATAAAACAAAAAGATTTAAATAATTTCTAATGAAAATATTCAACACACATTCAATATAAAAATTATAAAAAGCCATAAATATTGTACTTACTATATTTAGTGGCATTAAAATATGTTGCAATAATATAATTAGGCCTATAAACATAGGTTGAGAATCCATAAAACCAAACGCCTGATAAATCGGTGCGTATCGTATGAATTTTGCGACTATTACAAAATAGATGATAAATATAATCTGAAAAAGAAACATACATAGACATGTGAGAAATTGTGTATTTTCAAAATAGAAATTATAGCTGAAGAATTTCTCAAGATCAACAACACACGACAACAAAACAATTTTGTTCATGTCTGAAAATATTGAAATTAACATTGTTACTTGACAATCACTAGAGTACATTTAATGTTTACATCACAAAATGCACTACACAACTTACCTATTCAGCAATTTAATTTGAAAGATGTATATTATATGATCATTTAAATAAGAGATTCTTTTCTAATTCCATTATTGGCATGACATCATCAAGTTCAAGCCATAACAATTATGAAATTGATGAAACAGACAATATTCGAGGCAGTAACTATTCTCAAAACAGACATGTTATTCTGTACTAATTTTTATACACTATGATGCGTAGCAAGCTCGTAACTATGATATAAAACTAAGCTAAACATGTAAACAACTTTAAGATATAAATAAAATACTATACCTGGCTAAGCAGATATCCTTTCAAGACATGATTATATTTCCAGTGTCCCAATTCATGAGCAACTGTCGCCACTACTTCATCCGTTTCACAACCTTTATCAGCGTCATCGTCTTTCTTATTGGAAGAGTAACCCTTAATGAGTGTATCAAAGAGAACAATCCTTTTGTGTTTAAAGAAACCGTACAGATAAGCGTTGCTGTGAGTCGATCTCTTGGAGCCTTCAACTACAAATAACTTGTACAAAGGAAATTTCAAAGAAGCCGCCAAATTCTCGATTTTTCTCTTCAATTCGCCTTCTTGTAATGGAGAGTACTTGTCGAACAGAGGTGCGATTATTTCCGGATATAAAATCATCAAAAATAATGAACACGTAGTTACAAACAGCCACAAGTAGAAGAAGATATAATCGCCGCAATTTATCATAATCCAAGCCATACCACATGAGAGAAATATTGAAATAATTTGCATCACAATATATTGTTTAATTTGATCTTTTATAAAAAATGCAGGTGTCTGAAAATAAATATTAATAGATATTATTAATCTTTGTTATATTATTACTAATTTTAGTTTTTTATTCACGAAATGCATTTTATTCGATATGTAAAGATATGTAAAAGTCTAATTTAATTATAGAATTGAATGTTTCTAATATAAAAATCTTACCTGTTTGTTAAAACCATGTCTCTGTTCTATAACAAAAATGTTATATACTTTTAAAGGTAGACTGAATATATCTTGAACTGTGTTTGTAATGAATATAAATAGTGAACATAGCAATAGATCATTCTCATGATTGAAACCAAAGTACTTGGCTATTTCAACACCTAGTTGCCAAGTATAATAATAACCATAATATACTACAATAATCTGTGAATGAAAAACATCAAGTATTATTTATATACATATATACATATCAACATTATTAAGATATGACTAACATTATTATTTTTCTTTTATTTAATACTATATATGTTAATTTATAAAGTATATATATATATAATTAAGAAAAAGTTACTATACTTACTGTAGTAAAAATCTTATTACATAAATCTGAGAAAATACCAAAACTATTTGTATCTAAACGATATGCACGAGCTTTGTCATATATATCCTTAGTCATTAACCATGACAAGTGCTCTGGTAAATTAACCAACTTCTTCATCAAACTTCTCTGTAATGTTTCAATAAAATTAAATAGAGATTCAAAAGATTTATATAAACTTTCTATTGTATATTTTCTTTTATTTTAAACTCTCTAGATTTGTATATAATGTTAAGTGTTTTATAATAAATAATGTTATGTCAATATATTATTTCCAAAAGAAAAAAAGAATATTACATACGTCGTATACATATATAACATTGAATAATAAAATTGTGTGTGTGTGTGTGTGAATTTCTCTCTTTTTTCTATAAATATTATATATCTTTAACAGGTTTTTTTCTTTCTGTACTGATAAAGCTTATCATCTTTCTTGGATTAGACATCCAATGATGATCTTTTATCATCTTTTTTAGATTAGACATCCAACTTACCTGTCGAAGATCCAAATAATGTTCCCAAAGAAATAACGACCACATCAAGAACAAAATGGCAAAACGGAGATTTCCGAAAATAAATAACATATCTCGCCATGGATCTGTCATTGATATTGTGTATTTATTGCAGGTATGATTGAATACGCTACACCTTACAACTTATTAAAACTAAATTTCCAAAGGTAGAAATTTATTGATTTTCGTGCCTTCAACCTTGTGCTTAAACTTTTTGGCACACCTGGCACCTGGCACCTGATTCCGACAGGCTTCGATCCAATACCAAATTGCCGAATACAAGTAAGGTTAGGTTAAGTGCGGCAAGTACGATATTCGTTGATCCACGTTCCCTTTACGAAAATGGCGGGACGGACGAAGAGGAAGTACAAATTTTTAGCATTATATTATATCGACATAAGAATATATGAACGTATTGTTATTGAGTTATAAAGGAAGAATACAAACACTTCGGTTAGTTTCGCGTCACTTCGGACACATTCGATTGCGTTTTGCGCTGCGCGCAGCCAATAATCTTCCAATTTAAAGGCCGAATATATCCGAAATGACACGAAATTAGCCGAAGTAACTGTATTTCCAGGGTTCTTCCGTTACCGCTAATCTTCCAGCCCGCTTTTCTGCAAGTTCATGTCAGAGTTCATGTCGATGTTGTATTTCAGGAAGTGAAAGCGATCACGTGATGAGTAGACGAGATTGCCGCCATATTTGATATGTGGATATGTAGTTCGGTAAGCTTTTTTCTATTTACACATGATTTCTTTTTTATTGTTTTGTTTATATAGGCCATTAATCGATCAATTAAGTGTCAACCGTGATTAATCGATTTGGCTAATCGACTAGTGCGATTGATCAATTCTAACGAAACAATCGGTCGATTTAAGTTATTCGAAAACGAGTTGAAACTGATTTCGACTGGGCCTAGGTTATTCATTTTGAAGTATTTATTCTAATGAGACATCATTGGTGCGACTTCAAAATATTTGGTGGAAATTTGCATACTAATTAAAAACTGGGTCCACAACGGTATAGATATGACAGTTCGTACATGTCTCTAATCAAAACAAGTCAAACGAGTCTTTAAGTATTTTGGAAGCTGTGTATGCTCTTGTTTTCCATAATTTTACGGTGATGTATATTTGGTACTGTATCTCAAGTTTTATTTTCTTTTGTTAATACACACACATACTCAAAAAATTATATGTGATAATAATTATTATATATATTTATATTTCGAATGTACAGGAAGTGTATCATAGCGCAACCATAAAGAACGAACACAGACTTTTACTGATAAAAATAAATTACATATTTTTATTAGAAGAGATAGGATGGATTTTGACTCAGCTTATATTGGTAATTGTATATTCCTCCGTTTCACACACTTTTTGTAAAATTGTATTTTTGTTTATATATATATACTAGAAAATTATATACATATATATACATATATATATATGTGTGTATATTGTACATGTATATATATATTATATACACACTCAAGTATGTTACAACAAAAGTTTTTTAAATATTGTTATATAAAAGAATGCAAAAGTGTAATAAACACGTAAATAAAAAATATAATAAAGTATAATAAACAAAGAATATAATACAGCTAATATATTATATGTGGAAAAGTGTTTTATATATAAATTCTACAAAAAAAATAATAAAATTTTTTTTGAAAAGATATATATTTGTATATAATATATATCAGATATGTATTTAGATATACTTTGTGTACAATATATTTTCATATAAATATATAAATACTATAATATTTCTTTAATATAGATCCATTAATTATTGATTGGATGGAAAATCTTCAGCAATCTGTGAAAGAACATATAAAAATGCATTCTAGAGTGGGTAGTTCTCGGGCATTTTCAGGTAGGCAATGAAAAAAATAATACTATCACGTGACAATAAAAACTAAAATACAAATATTTTACGATATTTGTGTATATTTGTCAAAGAAAAGATATATTACTCTCTGTGAACCAATATTTACATAATTTGTTAATAATATAATTTTTTTAATTATAATTAGCACTTGATGAGAACGTTGTCAATCAGTTATTTAGTCTAGCGACATATCTAAACGTACAACCACATGTAAAATGGTTGGCCATTCAATTGTACGATTCGTTTCTAATAAATCGGTTCACTGAACTTTATAATCTGTCACTTCGACACAATTCTAATGATATATGGACGCAAAGTGTAGAAGAAAGTAGCAAGAAAGCAAGAGTATATGTACTGGCATGCTTTAAAATAGCGTCTAAACTAGAATCTCATACTCATTGCTTAGGATTATCACAAGTATTAAAATAATATACTTATGAGAAACTAAAATAGAGCATGAGAAAGTTTCACAAATAAAATAATATTGTTTCTGTCTTAATAGTTTCATGAAGCTCTACATTTCATGGGTGATTTGACAGAGTATCCTTCGAACATAATCATTTCTTCAGAAATCGAAGTTTTCAAACAAATAGGATTTAAAGTATCTTTTTGCACACCATTGCAATGCCTTGAGATTCTTTTGGCAGCAACAGGACTCTTGAACACACCAAACACATATGATAACATATCAAATTTATTGGATTTTGCTTACTTAAAGGTTTGGTTTTGATATATTAAAATTTTCTTCTCTTATTGTTTTATTAAAATTCTCATTTTACATAACAAAAAACTTCTTTTTCCAGCATGAGACATTATATTCACAGTTTTGTTTGAAATTTAAAATCACATATAAAGTAAATGCAGAACTTATAGAAAGGAGAGTAATTGAATTAAAAAAAAACATACTCCATATGTGTTCATCTATAATATTATGTGCAACATTCTTTTTGTCTGGAAATAAAAGTGATGAGGTAAATGAACAAGTTTTTACATCGAAATTGGCAGAATTTTCAAATACAACATACGATGATGTCACAATTATGGCTAAAGCATTATTTGAGTTAATATCAACGCTCGTAAAACATGACGAAAATTAAAATCGAACATAAAAGTTACCGTACTTAGATTATAATTAATAATTTATGTAAAATTAATTTGTGTAAATTCTTATTATTTTATGTAAAATAATTAATACTTTTATGTAAATAAGACAATATTTTGTAAATGTAATTCTGAATACACGCAAAAGTATTATGTATACATTTATACATTTGTTTTATTTTTCAGTTGTTTAACAATTAAAACTTGATCGATTATGAATCTCGAGATATTGACCTCGGTGCGCCTCCTTTCTACTCTCGGTCGCCCTCGTTTCATCCCCTTTCACTAGACTTTCGTCAGACCGCGCGTGCTCCAGATCCATTCAGCGCAACGCAACCGGTACACGATTCTACTATCCATCCTGCCGAAGTAGATTCATTTCTACGGCATTATTCACGAAGAAGCTAAATCTACTACGCTACTACAGAGTACGAGCAAGTACGAGCATTTGTGCGTTACATCGATCGCGCGCGTGCATCGTAGCAACAGGGTCGTACAAAACTGACTTTACATAAATGTCATTCTGCATATTAGGATGACAATAATCGAATTAGAATAGACACGTGGTATAAAGGTATTTATGAAGACGCTGCGTATATTTTGATTAATAAAAAAAAAAATGTCTTAATTTTTACCATATTTGTTTTTATACAAAATTTATTATATCAGAGGAAGAAAAATTATACTGGTGGAATTAAATGTTTCAAGGAAATTCTGCATCTTGATCTCTCTTCGTTATATACGCATTGAAAAAGTAGTTCTCTTAAATTTATTCATCAATACATACATTTACATTATTCATAAATCTGGACTGCAAATTTTGTTTGTAAATTTCGGAAGGTTTTTCTTTAATACATTTTGAGCTTTGATATCTGTTAGAGTTTCCTAAACATTTTTCTCGACGTTTAAAAAAATTAAGCAGAATATACTTTTTTTTTAATAAGTTTTCCGTTCTTTATTTTTCTTCTATTTCTTTTTTACTTTAATCACATTTTATCAAGTATTTACGTGTGGTTAAAGAGACAAAAAACATAAGTGTTCTTTTCATTCCTAAGGGGGAACTTCCCTTCTGTAGTCGAACCTGGGGGAACGTATGCGTATGTGTGCGTGCATAACCGTGCGACTATTCATTCGCCAGTCGTCCCAAGATGGAGAGAAAACAACGTCGCGACTGTTCGTACGCAAGGTGGTTGTAAACACAAAGTGTAGTCAATGATTGTGTTATTGTTTTCGTGTAAAATCGACAACAATTTGCGATATGGCGAAATCTGTATTGAGCTCGGACACACTACCAAAAGCGGGCCGTGTGAACGAAGGTAAGGTATCGCTTCTTTTCCTTTCTTCTCGGATTCCTACGCCTGTCACAAGGACATGTACGTTTACTTACACTTTTCGAACTTTGTTTTTCTCGTTTTTCTCTTTCTATGAAATGGAAGTGTATATTTTGTGTCTTTCAAATGTAAAGATGATAAGGTGCAACTAAACGTACGGACCTGTTCTCGCATGTGTTATGAATGTTACGATTAGTCAGTGCATTGGCATCCGTCTTGCGAGTTTGTAATTGTGCGATTTTACAGTATGCCGCGAATGGCTAGTACACGAGGACGGGGCGTTGGCCTATCGACTCCAGGATGAAGAAAGTACGTGAAAATTATATGCCTACTTTCGCCTTGCATACACATAGAGTATGCCAGATTTGCGGCAGGATCGTCCCGAAACGATCGGTCGCCCCGAGTTTAATAAAAAATTAATGACGTCCTTTTCTTCTCTTGTTTTCACTTCAGAAAGGGTGTTCAAATAGCGAAAGGGCAAAAAGGATAATAAATAATTTAACGTAAAATTATACATATAAAACTGTAACAGAATTTAAAAGGGGTCAAATATTATTTAAAAAAAACTTATGTTAATGTTATGATTGAGTATGTTAACTTTTTACTGCTTATAATTGTCACAGTCAAGGAACATTATACTGGCAACAAAACACGCAATGCTCAGGTGAGAGAAGATTTACCACGAGCGAAAGTTGAACAAGAACTGGAAGCATTAAGATATCAAACATATATTCAACAACAGTTAGTGACATTATTTTTATATTAAAAAATTTATTTTTTTTTTTGTATGGCGCATTAATTTTCTATGAATTTTGGTTCTCTCTTTTCTATAAAAGAGAAGAGAGAGATGAACTTGTTGCCAGACAGATTGCACTTTCTTTGGAACAAGAAGAAAGACAGAGGGAACGTGAATTACAAGAATTGATGAGATTGCAACTGAGATTGGGAGATGAAGCTATGCAACAGGAAATCGAAAGGCGGATACAGGAAGAAAAAGATGAGGTAGTTACAAAGTCTTGTTAAAAAAAATATCTTTCTATTTACATTTCAAAAATAATTTTATTAATTTATTAAAAAAAGTGAAAAAATCACAAATGTAAAAATTTATGTTACACAATAGGAACTGGCGAGAAAACTGCAACATGAAGAGGAAGAGGACCATAATGATGGTCCAGAAGAGCAATTAATAATAGATCAAAAAATAGCAATGGAAGCGCAAGATGCGGAATTAGCGCGAATGCTTCAAGAGAAAGAGCGTGCGAAGGCGCGTAAAGCTCGTGAGAGAGCAAGGCAAAAGAAGCTGGAGCGAGAACGTCTACAGCAACAACAGCAACAGTTCGACGATCAGAAACTTTCCGAGCGACCTCAAAGACCGGACAAGCTAGATTTGAGGACTCCACCAGCGAAAAGTCGAGCTCGTCATCCCGTCAATTATCCTCAATATCCAGATCCTGAGGAGATTCAGACACTCGACGATTCCACCGACAGCGTACGTGAAATGACAAATGTTGCGGCTATAATTGATCCCACTTATAACGCGCATCGAGGTACCTCTAGCAGCTCGAGCAGCACGGTGAGTCCTGCTTACACTTTACCAAGGCCGCCACAGGAACTGATGGCCGACGATGCGCCGTGTTACATGCCGATTCAAGGTCAACGACGAAATCAAGTTCAATCGCCATCAACTGCGCACGACGAAAAACACAAACGACGCGTTAAAGATGGTTGTAAGCATCAGTAAGAGATGCTGCAAAAGTTACCTTTAATACTTTTTTTTATAAAAGATTTTTTATAATAAATCCTTTTATTTGCCATCGAATGAGAAGAGAAGAAGTTAATAAATAATAGTGTTCATTTCTAAGATTTATTTCATGGAAAGATGCAATTTTTGTTGTATTAGCTTCGGTAATTTATATATATTAATTTTTGATACATAAATTTATACTTTTTGAAAAATATAATTTTTAAAAGTTTTCCGATAAGTATTTCAATAGACTGTGTATACTGCCATAGGTTTTGCGATGAGATGTAATTCGCATTACGCGAAGTATAATGTGCCTTTTAAAGGGCATATACGAATCTGAAAATGGCCTTGACACGATGTTACGAATTACGCACAGCAATAAGTTGAAGCGGATTAATGACGTTACGATTTCCGATATCCGAATGGATACATTGTACCGTCCTCGATCTTGCATTTACATTTTTTGCGTCCACTTTTGAACGTATAAAAGACACTAGCTAATAAAAATTTATTAATTATAAAAAAAAACGTATTTCTCACAGTATTAGGATATTTGACACTTAGCGGAGAGTGAGAGTAAAACATTTACTGTAGACAATCAGAAGAACATTTATATTTATGAAAGATATATCATTTAACTTGGTGCACTCTTAAATGTGGCAACCAAGCAGTGACAGTATGAATGTTGACTGACTTGCAAAAGTTTGTCGAAAACTTTCATATTTTCTTAACGCGCGCAACAAAGAATGTCGGCGTATAACCAAAAAATGTATAATAAAACTTTTTGAAACAACAAGTTACAAATGATGACAAATTTTAGAAATTTTACTGACTTTTCTAAAAAGTTAACTTTGCAATTGAAATAATTGATAAAATGTCTTGTATGTTTTCGACAGTATCGCGTTTCTACAGTTATACATGTTAATAAATTTTGCTACACGCGATACATACAAGATCTGTAACATTAATAATAAACCATGACTTTTTAAAGACTCTTTTTATAGTTAGTAAGATAGAACGTAAAAAAATATCAACACTGCCAAAGATAACACTTTAATGTTGGCCTTTAAACAGATAAGTAAAAATGCTAAACGTCGAGCAAGTGTTCTCTTCCGCGAACACTTTCAAACAAGATGAGCAAGCTTTCAAAACTTTAGCTACATTATTAATTGTAACATTTTCAAGAGAAGCGCTTAAATGGAAAAATACTATGAGAAGTAAACAGTTGTGTCTATATCTCTTTTCTTTCTAAACAAAAATCTATCTACACACACACTCACACACACAATTTCACTACGAGACACTTTATAATAAAAAGACGCTATCAGAGTTTATTTATTCTTAAGTCTTGCGATTATTTGTAATAGATGTACGTATGCGGACTTCTTACATGTATACAAAATATTAGGTTTTGTACTCTAAATTTTTTTATGTAAGGATTGTGTATTCGGAAAGATCAGGATTTATATATATATATATATATCCTATAATATATTGATAGGTTGAAGTAATTATTCTATTAGTAGATACATTGTAGATTAGAAGAGTTTATTTATATAATAATGTATTATTTTTGTGGTGATTGGAACTTCATTTTTTCTTTTATACTATGTAATGTATTACCTTTCCTTTACATTTATTGTATCAATACAACTATACATGTGAGAGTATGTTAATAAATTATTTACAAAGTTATGATACATTTGTGTGTGCCATTTTCGAAAATACTATATGAGAGTTGTATCCACAAAGTATAGCAGAGAGAAATCTGTCTCCTTATTTAGCAACAAGTAACGACACGCGTTAAAAGTTACGGAATAGGTGTTCGCTGATACTACAAAATGAAATATTAGAAAATGTTAACGTAAAAAAAAACTTACTGACAGCAAATGTGCTTTAAAAATGTACATATACACGGAATGGATATTATAGCTGTCAAAATTCAATACCAAGGAAGAACATGTTCAATTATGCTTATGTCCAAAAGTGCAATATACATACAGTTATCAATGATAGTGTGTGTCAGTCAAATATAGTTTGGACAAGATGCGACTGCAGCCGTTGTCTCTGTATACTTGTGAACTCTATCGATGTAGAAATATCGTGATATATTCGAGATTGAACAAAACATAAAATTCTTTCATACAGGTGACACCGTTCAAGTTCAAGTTAATTTACATCGGCTCGTGGAGATTGCAAAAAAAAAAAAATAATAAACAGTTTTCAAAACTACATATAGTGTACATTATTAAAAAAAAAATTATTTCTAAGTAATATCATACTAGCATATATTCTAAGTACCGCTGTTAATATAAAGTCAATCAACCACCACAACTTAAAATATATCCTAGTTTAGAAAAAAAAACATGTGTCTTTATCCCTCTTTCTCTTTTTCTTAATTGTTACAAACAGTTTTTGTGAAAAGAAGTCCAGCCGTTTAGCAATGGGAAAAAAGGAAAACAAAACAATCTATACGTATTTCAACAAGTTTTATACATCCAGCTATCGAGAAATAACGTAAGTTCAATATCTATATAAAACAACAGAACCGTTTTTATGTGTTTCGTATGGTCCCGCTTAGCATACAAAAATGTTTCACTTTACAACAATTCGGTTAACTCAAAAGGAAAAACACTTAAAATTTATCACTTAACTGTCTAATTCAATGATTCTATCTATCTTCGATCACCAACACTTACGATTGTTGTCAATCATACCAATGAACATAATGCGTACCATTGTATTGTTATTAGATTAGAACACAAACACTGGAGAAACTAATCAACAATTTTACGTAACACTATAACAGCATGATTGTGTAATGTATGTTGTGAAATGGTTTCATTTTACATTGTTGTATTAGAAGAACTTTAGAATACTTACTATGTAGTCGTATACTTATAGTAAGTATTTATTTTAAAAGTTAACGTCTGTGAGACGAGAAATTACACGGATAATTTTAGTGGATGTAAATGTCGTTAAAAAAATGTTTTGAAGAAAAAGATGTATGAATCAATGACTTACAAATCATATGTGTATATGTGCACGATAATTTATCAAGAGCTCCTAATTATCTGTTTCAATCTATATGTTTAGATCTTTTAGGTATAACGAATTTTGTCCGAAATCGCGATCGAAAGCTATTTATAGTTAAACGAGTGTAAGAGCCAGATTCGACGATACTGTGAGGTTTCCGGATAGCGGGCCTTTGTTCTGCTTCCTGACAAGGACTCGGTATGAACGAGATTATTTTTCTGTGAAAAGTAAACATAGAATATAAACCGATTTACCTTTTCATATAATACAGATTAAATAAAAGTGGTTGAAGCGTAAAAACGAGAAGGAGATGCAGCAGCGGAAAAAGAATAGAAATCAAATCAATTAATGAATAACAACCTACGGCGATGCTGGTTCGAAGAAATAATTTTGGATCTATTTTGGGGTGGTGAGAAGACATATTTCGGGACTTCCCCAATGTCTGTAAATTAAAAACCACGGTCTCACCAAATCGATTAAACAGTGTTCGAGTACCGATTGTATTTTGACAGGCCAGAGATATTACGTCACAGTGAATTAATTCACAAAAGTTAAATTTGATCGTGTTAAAACTTTATACAACACACTTAAAACTTATATAACACAGAAATGTGTAAAAGAAACTCTCCCTGCAAAGCCTGATTTGAAGATTTTTTTACTGATAGAATAATTTTTTTTTTTAATTTTAAAGATTATCACTGTAACGCAAGACCATTTACTTGACGAGTACATATATTTTCAAACTTACCTTCTTTATCTGACGGTAAGTCATCCATCTTCTCCGGTTGCGAAAAAGAAAAGATGTTGCTAGGTTCTTGACTCGTGCTAGTCTTGCGCGGCCTGCCTCGCTTCTTTATCGTATCAGTTTTTGCCTTTTTAACGATCGTGGACTCAGTATTTTTGGACGCGGTGGCATTTCGCGCAGTTTCACCCGCCATCTTTTCTAAATCCATTCCGTCTTCGTTTTCTGTGCACTCTTCCGCTATCGGTTCTGCCGCGATACTTCTCGCACGAGTAGTCTTGCTTCTAATCTTCTTTTTAACTTCCTGATCCGATATATCGGCGCTAACGGCTCTTCTCTCTCTGCTCTGCGCAGCTTTTCTGCTGGATCTTGTCTCTCTTGACGGACTCAAAATATCTTCTAATTCCTCTGGTATGGATAATAACGATGTACTTCGACTGCGTGTATTTAGCGTCGGTTGATTGGCAATTTTGTCCATACTTTTCGCACGGGAACTTCTAAGCGTCATCGACTCTTCCGAAAACTCGGCTTCTTCCGGAATATTTTCCTTTGTCATGAACTTACGTTTCCTACCGGTCTGTACAACGATTTCTGTAGGCAGTGAACTACCGCGTCTTTGCCTTGTTTTTGTCTCCGGCGTTTCCGATTCTTCTTTGCAAATTCCCGCTTTTGAACTCCTCGTAGACGATCTCAAAGACCTGCTTGTGCTGATTGCCGTATCGGACGATACCGAAGATGTTCTTGCACGCAAAGGTCTCGTACATTTATTCTCTTCATCGTCGTTTGCCAACTTCGTGAGCGACGATGTGCTCTTTGACTTTGCAAGATTCTTCGACATGTCCGCTTCCAATTCTTTCTTTGCAGAAGTAAGCGTGTTTCTCCTCCTGCTTCTTCTTACCGGCAGCTTATCCTCGATGTTAGACTCGGTATCGCTGTCCTTCATTTCGCTCTGAAGAATCGTGGACTTGCGCAGACTTCTTCTGGGTGACGATTGTACATCAGAAGTGGCTAGTTCTAATGAAATTGCCGGTTTTGAGTCTTCGTTCATCGCCGTGTTCATCATCAGCACTTCCTTCATAAGAGAACTCGCTCTTCGGCCACGCGGTCGTTTTTCCAATGAAGATTCTATACTTTTTGTTACCGAGTTCGCTCTTCTTGAACGCAGCGATCTCACAGATTCCGTTTCTTCCAAAGCATCTGTCGATACATCCGACGTAACTGAAGCTGCTCTTCGCGATCGCGAAGGTGTTTTTGCAGATTTTACTTCCTGCAAAGAATTTGTCATCGAGTTCGGCGTGAGTAAAGTCATCTTTTGCAATCGCGAAGGTTCTTCGTTACTCGCACTTGTCTGTGGAGAATCCATCGGCGAATCTTTCAACAAACTTACCTTTCGTGATCGCGCAGAGCGTTTATCGGTATCACGCGATGGTGAATCCGTCGTCAAAGCTTCTGCCGGTAGACGATTAAGAACAACGCACGGAAGACGGTCTTCTGACGAAACATCCAGATTTTCTGCTACCGAACTAGACTCTGCCTGACTCTTCTTATTCTTCGAGAAACTTCTATCTTTTGACTGTTTTTCTTGAGATTCAGCCGACTCATCGGAAATCTTAACCCTACTATTGTCTACTTTATGACTTGACCGAACTTTTTTAGGAGTGGTTTTCTTATTTACATCTTTTTTGACGCTTCGTCTCTTGCTCGATTTTTTCTCCGCTTCTGTATTCTGTGTCACATATTGTTCTCGTAGGTTAGTTAATCCTCCATTCTTCGTTTTCGGTTCCTCTTCTCTAATATTGGAGTCGGACTCGTCGTCCGTAATATTCGACATATCGTAAAAAATGTTTTCCGAATAAGCATCTGGATTTGTACATTCTTCCTTTTTGTTATTATCCGCCTCGTCGGATATCGCTGGAGTTAGACCTCTGCTACTTATGGACTCGTCGTCGGTGAAATCGGCCATCATCTGCATCGACTCCTGCAAACCGTTGGACTTCTTCATTCCACGTTCTTCCGTTTTATATTCAGGATTTGAAGCTTCGGATGCACGAAGATTAGAAGCTTCGCTATTCAACTGTTGCATTTGTGTATCCACATTCGAGGATAAACTCTCGAACGTCTCGTGTTCATCTTCACTATCCTCATCGTAACGTAACCGAAGTAGCTCGTCATCGGACTCATCTAAAACGACCGGATTTGACACTGCGATGTTTTTAGCTTCGGAGATTACAACCTGGTCTTTGTAAGAACTCTTTTTTCTCGTGATGCTTCCGTTGTTGTATTTGCTCTCACTCTGCTGACTCTCGCCTTGCGCGCGTTTCTCTAAGCTCTCGTCTCGTCGTTCCACAAAGTCGTTTCTGTAACCAGAATGTTCGACGCTCAACCGCCTTTCAATCTCGCTAGTTGTGTTAAGATCCTCTTTCGTCTTGCGTGCATCACTCACAAAAGAGCCCATCATGCGTTCCTCATTATCGTCAATTTTCATTATATGTTCATTGTTAACGAACTGTGAAGCAGCTACACTCTTTGTCAATGGAGTAGACGAAATAATACATTTGTTATTATGATCTCTTTCCAAAGACATTCTCAAATCCAACGTGCTTTCTAATCTTTGTGGGTTACTAATATCAATGCTGGTGTCGGAATGCAGTATAGTAGTCGAATAGACAGAGGTTGCTAGCAATGAGCTGCGATTTCTCGGTGATTTCGGAACAAACGGTGACTTATTGATCTTCTCTTTGGGAGCCGACGTGGCCATCGCATCAGTCGTTTCTTTCTTCGAGTAAGATTCATGTATCGATTCTACGGACGATTGTAAGGCACTTCTTCTGAGGCTGGGACGCGGACGAGCATAGCTATAGATGTTACTGGAGGTAATGCTGCTGTTGCTTAGAATTGCGGTTTCGTGTTCTGACTCGCTGCCGGGATTATAGAACTCATCGTTACTCTCGTTCGAACTAACGGACATATCTACCTTGTTGCTGGTTTCTTCTTCTTCTTCTTCTTCTTCTTCTTCTTCTTCGTCTTCGTCCTCTTCTTCTTTTTCTTCTTTCTCTGCCTCTTCGTATATCAAGGTTTTCTTAGTCTGATTGATGTTAAATCGTATTTGTCTATTGATTTTCTTCTCCCTCTCATTAGTGGACAGTCCATCGGCGACTTCTATTGTTTGTGACGATGTGGCACTAGGAGATATTGAGCTTCTTATAAGCTGTCTGATTTTCAAAATCGATTGTGGTGTTGGTGGTACACTGTCTTTGTTCATGGACGCGTCAAGTTTACGCTTTACCAAAGGCGTATCGAAAGCCGTTGTCAATCCAGATTCTTTTGAACTTGATTTGTTCGACGACACGGTCCCATCTGACAGTTTACGGCGTTTCACGTGATCCGGCCCGTCGTTTGTATTATCATCCCTATCGTAGATCTGATCCAATGTGCGTTTACCGCGACTCTTATGCATTGGAAATAATATACAGTTTACATTTGTGCTGTAATTGTTAAGCTTCAGAGATGTGCAGGGAGCGCTAACAAATGGCGTCTGACACTTCTCTCCTCGAAGGTAGGTCTCTCGGGATTTCGCAATTACCGTTTCGTATATATTCTGCAACTGATCGTGGCTTTTGCAGTGTGACATAGGTCTGGGATAGCGCGCCTTCAGATCCATGTCTTGGCCAGTCGCGGCCGCATTTGTGGAGAATCGTTTTGTAATGTCGGGCAAAGTAGCGTTGTAAGCGCCAAGCATATTGAACGTCGTGGACTGCGTGTCTTTGATGAAGTTCGACTGGTATTGGATCGAATAGCTGCTGATAGCTTCGCTATAACGACACCGTTGCAGATAATATAACAAGCGCAAATCTTCCGTTCTGTTCTCTTCAAGAAACTTAACGAAAACTTCTTCTTCTTCGGAGTCTAATGCCAGATGCAGAATCTCGTTGAGTTTGCCGTATTTCTTGCATGCTCGGAAGAAACAGGCCAGTAATTGTTCGTAGTGACAAGGTGGCCTGCGATGAAAAGCCGACTGAACCAGACCGTGTTCCACCGACAAACTCACGGCTATACCTTGCTCCTCCATTGAGGACAGAGGAGGTTTTCTTACGCGAAGATATACGAGCGCCAGTTTATGCTGATTATTGCGCACCAAAGTGCGCAGTATGAGCCTATGATGCCAGTCCTTGACGTCGCAATCCGAGACCAACTGGCCGGTCATCATGTCAAGAAATCCTTGATAGTCCTCGTGATCGAGCAGCCAAAACGCCTGAGTAAGCTTGATGAGGCTGGGACTCATTTTGAATGCGGACGGATACTTGATCAGCTGATCGACCGCGGGATACTGCCGTTGCAGCAACATAGCCAGGTCCATTAAAAGATAGATCGTAATCTGATGCTTGCAGCTGATCTCGCTTGTTTCTGTTTGATGACAATTGGTCAAGTAATTTCGTAATACAGACTGTAATGACGGCGGTGGATAACAACCACACGTAGCTGTGCCACCTTCTCTCTCCCATTGTGCCTTCAACACAGAACATTCGCGTGTTATTAGCTCGTCAATGAACAAGTCTTCTTCGTTTTCATTGTCTCTGTTGCTTTTCTCTTGCCGTTTTTCTTTATAAAGCGTAGAAAGTTTTTCGTAGGGATAAGGCACTCTTAGCGTTAAGGAGATAGGGAGAGTGCCCTCCTCCTCCAAATCTTGCGTTTCGGGCAACAGTCCTACGTCATAGAACCAAAGGAGCACTTGGAAGTACGTGGACACGCGTTTTAGCGTCCTTCGTTGCTTTATCAAATCCGCCGTCGCGGATGGTAGCTTACTTACCACATTGGACAAACATTCCAATTGCTGCGAACAGAATCGCAAGGTCTTCACATCAGCCTCACCGATGCTGCTACCTGACTGATCGAATAGAGGGACGCAAAGACGATCTGCGATCATTTTTATAGTAGAGGCTCTCTGAACACCCCACTTGAGAAAAGTAGGATACAAATAAGAGGCACTACCATCTGACCATTCCATGGCACATTTTACCAAGAATGTGGACCACCGTTGTTCTAAGCAGAGTGACAGCAACATTTCTCGTTGCGTATTCTGATCACTGGTGAACGAAAATTCTGAACATTCCGAATTGAATGGCACCAACCCAACCGAGAGACATCTATGAAATGTTTCGGTTGGTTGTATCAGTATGATAGGGCCTGCCATGGCCATTTCGCGTAGCAGATCCGCCTGAATGCCGCGAGTCATCCAGAATGTCAGTTTCGTTGAACGTAAATCTACCCATTCGAACGACAGAGAATTAGGATAGAATAGTTTCTCCGATGAGTTAGGAGCGTTAGTGGAAACCTCTTGCAAACTCAGTGGAATATAATTGCAGCTTATAATTTGATTTCCTGCACTTGATGCATCCGACTGTGTGCAATAAGTCGCAAATATGCTGTTTGGATTTTCGCACTCGCTGATAGTGTGCGGCATTTGTTCTTTGTACCATTGATTCAGATCAAACAACAATACCCTCTCGTTTGTTGTGATGAGTAGCAGGTTGTCTTCGCCTCTTCTAACACCCGACTCGGATTGTTCCGGATTGGATTCTCTTTCCACAGTGCCCAAACTTACGATCTTGTCTCCTTCGTTCAATTCCGACTCGAATTTTAAACTAGGATTAGCTTCCAAGTTGAAATACAAGTTCATTCCTCTGTCACAGTATTTTCTCTCGAACAACATAGCGTACATTCGCAATACCGGTGGTGTGTTTGATGACTCATCCTGGAACACCACCCATAAGTAGCAAAACGGTCTAGGATCATCTGTAGGTTCCATTAAAGCTAAATGGGTGACTGCCATATTTTCGTCAATAGGCGCACTAATCCATCCTACGGAACCATCGTTTTGCCAAATTATCACTCTACCCAAACAACCGGAAATCAAACAACCAATTTTTACAGAACTAATAATTGCCGTAGTCAAACTTTCATCAAATAAAGGGGACGACTCAAAACTTTGTCTATTGAAGCCAATATGTTTTTCGATACCTGAAAAAATAATTTGTAATTTTATTAATATCATGTATATAAGATAATATTTATTTTCTTGTTTCTCTCTCAAATCAATATACTACAATAAATATTCGGAAGTATTAAACTTACGACTATTCAGCAAATTGTAGGCTATATGCTTTCCATGATCGGATTGTTGTCTGTTGACAACTTGTGTTGGTGAAAGAAGATGTATATCTGCTGGTGACATTTCATCCATAATACATGAATCATGTATATCCCATGTAGATCTTTGAAGGTCAATCATAATATGGTGAAGATTACGTAACACTACACAAGCAATTCCATTCATTTCATTTAGTATGTTATCTGGTCTTTTATCATTAAACTCTTCCCATTCTGCGCCACCTGATATGACACATATTTGTTCTACACCACATGGCATCTGTAAAATAATAATGCAAACGTGTATAGAAAAATCTTCATATTCAATATTTATTCATTGATTTAACAATTTCTTAATGTTTGAATAACACTTACACGGATTGCTCTCAAAACACGAGATTTAGTGCAATCAAATACACACACTAAGCCAGAGGAATCTTTTAATTTACTTGCACAATTATCTATTCCAACCAGCAACAATGGAAATTCTCCAGGTTGTGTGGGAAATTGAGAAACAGATGTTACAACACCACGGAACGTCCAACTGCTAATGCTTTCTCCTATTTTTACATTAAAAACAACTAAGTGGCATCCATAACTCATCCATGCATATGTGCCATTATTCAGAAATCCTCCATTAATGTTATCCTGGGAGATTGCAGACTGGCCATGTTCATCTGTCTCTGAATTCCTCAACCAGTTTGACACAGGGAATTGAAGATTTACAATTCTGCGAATCTGCACACATGTACATACATATATATACATATATGTAAGAAAATTAATCACAGCAACAGTTGGGAATAGAAATTAAACATATAATTATCGAATAAATTGAATATGATTACATAAAATAAAGTAAAATTCATTTTCATAGATTATATTTGAGACAGAGAGAAAAATGTTGAGAGAATGCTATATTGTAGGAATCGTTAAATAACAATAGTTAAATTTTTTGGAACATTACCTCGCAATTGACTTCCTCTAACTCCCTCATTTCTCATACGAGCTACCGAAATATCATCAGTAAAAGTTGCATTTAAAAATCGTTTCTCGCGATTCGAGGTGAGATGAGGTTATGTTGGCGCCAAATCTCAGAATTTTTCTACACGATCGTCCGAGGAACGCATAAGCGATAATATTGCATTTACAATGGATAATAATCTGTCGGAAACACACGGAGATAGTGTAATTTGGAATCGTATTACGAAATCAGTATTGTCTCTTATTCATTGTATCACTCGTGCAAGCATTTTAAAACCGCGAACTACTACAATTGCGAAGTACGTTAAGCACTGCTCCCAACCGCATCGTTTAGCGAGAACACGAGGCACTGCACGTGAATCGCTTTTTATTGATTATAGTAGTCAGTACACAAGTATTGTATAATATCACACATTAAAGAAATAATGTAAAAGAAACACCAATAAATTCAACACAAACGAAATAGAAACGGTTTTTGTTCTTGTTTTTTTTTTATTTTTTTTTTTTATTTGTATCGTACGTTTGTCAACTTTAATTCAAAAAATTTTGAGTAAACATGAATAATTCAAAACCGCGAAATTTAAAATTACACATTGAACATTAAGTAAAGTACAGCTGCAACTTTAATTGGAAATTTAAAAAATATCACAATATTCATATATTTTAGGGTCAGTTTTACCATCTCCGGATCGCATTTCGTTGTTCTGTTATTACTATAAAATACGAACGTATAGATTTTCAGTAATAACGGAATATGGCTTTAATTGGCTTCAGCATCAGCCATGTGATTAGTCAGTTTGGACAAACGCTTTATATGTAGCCAATCAACATGAAGCCCGTTTCAAGTTGTATGAACTTGAGGCTGCATTCCGACAGTGCCGAAAATGCTGATGTCACGTGTTCTCACGAGAGCTCGTCGGAGAGCAAGCTTAATATGGAGTATTTTGGAATGGTACTCGTAGCGCTGAATATCGGAATGCATTCTGGATAAATTACTTTCAGTTTTTTCGTTTTTTTCTTCAATTTTTATATATAAAGTTCGCGTGAGACTTCATTTTTTTTTGTTTTTAAGTAAGATTTTTTCATGATTTTACGTTTTAGAAAAACAACTTCTGATTGATTTTCTGACCGTACAAAAAACCTGGGATGTTTATTAATAGAGTGATAAATTGGCACATATCAGTGACCGCGTTCAGTAGAATTCAACGCTTTGTGCTTATTGTCTTTGATTGGTTTCTTCCTCTAGATCTGTTTTGCAAATATGAATAAATGCCAATGATAAACAATAATTGCAAAGTGCTTACCATATGCTCGGTTCTACCGAACACACGGCCATTGAGCGCATCTGATGTATCTATATAACTATACACGTTTCAGTTTGTTTCAATTGGTTGAATTGATTTCAATGTATTCATTTTACCATACGTTAGATTTTCCTTCGAATTTTTGTTCCCCGTGTAAGTTCTTTAAATAACAAATAATTACAAACGACTCGACAGAAATCAAATTGTAGATTTTATTGTTGTAATAACGCAAATATCTTAGTTTTATAAAGTATTAAACATTTTCTGTGAGGTTAGAAGTGTGAGGCAGCAATGCACCTCATCTGTTTAAAGTTGTGAAATAGGAGAGATTTTGGTTTTTAAGAAAATTGTCTTAAGAGATGTTTTTTATTAAAAAAAAAAAAAACAAAACATGAAATAATGACGTTTTCACTTAAGCCTTTTGTGTTTATATTTTAATTGTGTGATTTTGTTGATAATTTTATTAATAGAGCACATATAACAAGAGTTTTTTTCTTCAATGCATGTGTGAGACAGATTTAACAAAAACTATATAGAGCTCATTCAATTCTAAGATAGTATATGAATTTTTAGGAGAAGAAATGGCATCCGATCCTGAAACAAGTCAATATGTCGGTGATCATAATCTCAATGAGAGAGGTGACTACAACAACATATCAACAAAACAAAAAATAATTATCAAGGAATTTAAAGATAATATAGCATTAGATGTTCAATCTGCAACTCAATATGTATCATTGGGTAATTATAATAATAATAAAATGAAAAACATAGGATTTTTTTTCTATTAATAAAGATGTTACTGATCACAATGACAAGATGCAGATTACATATTTCATATCAATTACTTTTTATATATACAAAGAAAAACTAGATTTATATAACTATGTTATTTTTTCATACCTTTGGTTTTTTTTTTTTTGAGAACTGTAGTTGATAATAGCTCAGTTATGAATGTTAGATGTAAATGATGCTTTGAAGTAGTTGATGTTTTAAGGCTTCATACTTACATAAGATTTTTTTAATGTAATTATGAAATCAGCCATTGCTATTGTGTGTAAGTTAAGCCAACATTAGAGCAGTACACATTAATGTCTTAGAAAATGCCATCACAACACAGAAATAAGAGAAAAATTCTCAAGTTTCAAGGTATTAGTTATTTGATTTTAATGTGATCTATAATCTAGGTGTACATTCACCATTTGCTTACAATGCAGAAAATACTGGATGTAATGTGGACTCCAATAGTCAAAATAAGGAGAGCAACGCAGTGACTAGTCAGCCAGATAAAGAGAAAAGAGAATATGATCCTACTATTGATGAAAGATTGCCAGAAACTGTGACATTATTGACAACTCCAGATGGAGGAAAATTATACTTAGTAGGAACAGCGCATTTTAGTGTTGAGAGTCAAAATGATGTGTCTATGGTAACTAGGATGAAACTGAATATATCATTTTATTAACACACTAAGACATTTTTTATTAAAAATATTGTTGACTACAGATTATACAAGCTGTGCAGCCTCACATAGTTGTGGTTGAACTATGCAGGGCCAGACTCGGCATATTGCAACTTGATGAGAAGGTTATGTTTCGTTATGCTCAAGACATCGATTATAGTAAGTTTTTGAATTTGTAAATTTGTAAAATTCTCTGGAAAAGACATTTATTATTTTACTTATTTACAGAAACTATTATGGATATTATTAAGAAGGAAGGAGCCTACAATGGTTTGTTGCACATCTTGTTGCTGAGAATGGCATCTCATGTTGCCAAACAGCTTGGGATGCCACCAGGTGGTGAATTTCGAAGAGCATTTGAGGAGGTTAGTGTGTATAATAAAAACATGATGATCAATTTATTTAGACATTATTATTTTAGGCGAAATGTGTACCAAATTGTATTGTTCATCTGGCTGACAGACCGTTCAACATAACAATGAAACGCGCGATACGATTGTTGTCTTGGTGGCAAACTATAAAGTTAGGGTGGCATCTGATCACAATGAATGTCCCTATTACTCAAAAAGACGTTGAACTTTGTAAGCAACGATCAACGCTGCAAACAATGATTACTAGCTTACAACAGGAATTTCCGGTGTTAGGGGAAGTATTCATTAAAGAGAGAGATATATATTTGACGAATTCCTTGCAGTTAGCCTGTTTACCTCATCGCACTTCTAATCATACCGTTGAACCTACTCGAGTTGTGGGAATAGTAGGTTTAGGACATACGCCCGGTATTATTAAACATTGGGGCAAAGTCAAGCCTACTGATATAGCACCTATTATGAGGTATGTGTAGAATATTAAGAGTACTGTCTCCGATTAAGCATCAAACATAATTAATCAGTGTGATTGATTCAATTCCAACTTAATGATCGATCGATTAAATTAATCGGAGATGGTGAAACTGACTCCTAAGTGGATGCAGTTATTATACAGGATGCTTTAATTTGTTGTTTAATTTCTTTCAGTATACCATCGCCGTCATTATCGGGCAGAATATTGAAGCTGACTGTTAAGGCATCTGTGCTCGGTGCTATAATTTATATAAGCTATAAGGTTGCAGCTGTACCTGTTACTTTCACGTTCCAATCTATCAAGTCATCGGTCGAGGGACTTCTAAAGGTTGGTGCCGCGCGATAGAATTACTTGAGTTACTACGTTTGCGCTGCATTCTGAAATTTTTATTTATTATTGTAAAATAACCGTTTCTTCTGTATCCCCTCTTCTTCTGTGCTGCTTTTCACTCAAAGAGTCTCACAGATCTCCTTGGGTTGTTTTGTTGGAAATATGACTGAGGTAAGCGCGGAAGCAACTGCTTCTGCTGACGAGTACGAACATAGCATACCGGATGTTATGTACATAGTAAATAATATACCAGGGCCTGGTATAGATGTAACAGACTTCGAAGCAGAATATTCCGTAGGTTGTTCGTGTATGACTGAGTGTTATAATAATTGTTCATGTACACGTAACTCCGCTAATTATTTTAATGGTCGAATTGTCAACGAAAAATTGACCGGTCCGGTGTTTGAGTGTAATGCGCATTGCAAGTGTGGACCAAATTGTGGAAATAGAGTAATACAGAACGGTCCATTGAACTGTTTAATTGTTAAGGAAGTTGCTGGTAAAGGTTTTGGTCTTTTCACGACAAAATTGATAAGAAAGAATCAATTTATTTGCGAGTATGCTGGTGAAGTGACAGACTTGCAAGAGGCGCGACGTAGAATTGAAGCTAATAAGCGGATTAATGCGATGAATTACGTCCTTGTGGTGTCAGAACACGTTGGCGATCGTGTTATCGTAACCTGTATAGATCCGAAGTACTTCGGTAATATTGGACGCTATGCTAATCATAGCTGCAATCCGAATTCTAGCCTCGTCCCAGTAAGAGTGGAAGGAATTGTTCCTCGATTATGCTTGTTCGCGTCTAGGGATATAGCAGTTGGAGAAGAGGTGACTTTTGACTATGCTGGTGGTGCGATGGCTAATTCCGTCCATTATCTCAGCGATACTTCTTGTCTCTGTGGTTCTAACAATTGTTTCCGTTATTTACCACATACTCAGATTTAACAGAATGAGATATCTCTGTGCAAATGTTATAATATAAAAACAGGGATACAGATCAAGCTTGACGTTCTAAATTAACAAAGATTATATAAAAACTGATATAACCGTTTTAAAACTATTACAAAAATCAAGACATCACAGATCAAAATCACTGTACATGTATACAAATATAGTATTTTTATTTCGTGCTTATGGATGGGAGGCAGAGGAAAGTTGGGAAGAAATGAGAAAAGAGGTGTTAGTAAGGTACTTTATATAAGTTAGTATGTAAGCTAGATTTAAGAAGCAGAAGTATTTTTAACCCCAAGAGGAACAATAAAAAGTTCTATTTTATTTCTTACACATGTTAACAAATGTTAAATTTTACTGATATTTTCTTATTAAGTGTAATTAATATTTTATTCAATATTAACATATACATATAAAATAATGTGATAATGTTTGTTCTATTATCGTTAATTGTTATTCCATAACAAATTATTTAATGTATCAATTATTTAATGTATCAACACAGAATATATCAGATTACTTATTACGATGATGAAGATAGAACAATTTTTTGTTCGAGAAATATAAATAATAAGATTAAAGTCAGAACGAATTGTGTTCAGGAATTGATATTATCAAAACTGTAAGCATGTGAAATCTGCTTTTCATATCGAAGCATTTAACAGTTAAGACGTCAAAACGCAATTTGCAAAAATATTATACTTAATTATTTTCATAATTAAGAAATGTTAAATGTTACATACTTAGTTAGAAATTCAATATTGCTTTGTTCTATATGTGTATATGTGTATATACAAAAATAAAAAGGTGTATTATATATATATATATACATAACTAACATAAAATAATTATATTATATATATATTATATATATATATATATATTATAAATTTACATAAGGAATATTAATCTAGCTTGAATTAATATTTGAATATTAGATATGTGCTTGTGTACGAACATCGTATATCAAAAGTATAGAGCAGTCAACGAATTTATAGAGTAAGAATAGTTTGATGCGTCTGGAAGGTATTCTGTACACAAACTCGTTGGAAGGAATGATTTGAAAGTCAATTACGTTTTATTGTAAAAACTAATGTAACAAATTATCTTCATTCATCATTTTTGGTTTTACTACATTGTTATCTGTTTAACTTTATCGAAAGATGCACATATGACGATCAATTTTCTGTAATTTTTGACATAATTACCTGATTATAAATTATGTAAACTTTTATTCTGAAAAAATATATACATAATCACTCAAATTTATTGAATTGTAGAATTCTTACAACTCTATCCTATATCTTGTGACTGTTTAAAGACAAATTCAGATCATATGTGACAACAAAAAAATAATGTATATAATAAACAGTAATATTTGTGCAATTCTGAGTTCTACTTGTTTTGCATGTGTTCTTAATTAAAATACTTGGATGTAGCAAAAAAACTGACTGATATCTTTTTTTTATAAGTTTATTATAATTTTCATTGGGTTTATTTACAACAAGCGATAAAAGTTGAACACGTTTTATATCAATTTCCCTGTTTATATAAAGAAATTGACAAAAGAAATTATTTGTCAAGTTTTAAGTATGAATATAAAATTAACGACATGATATTCTGATTTATGAAATGTGTGTGTACATTTGTGAATATTTGATACAAATATGCACAAAATGTATTAATTATTGTGTGCGAGCACAGTTTCAAATTCGCTTTTAAAAGCAGTGCAAACTTACCGCAAAGTAAACATCATAAATAAATTTGTTACTTATGATATTAAAAATTTTTATATATATACAACGAAAGTTCTTTCACACATAAATATTACGTATTACGTAATCGTTAAGGCATTAATTGTTACTTGTAATGAACGATCGTAAGACTAGCGGTATCATACAGTAACTCTAACATTTAACAAGTTAATTCGTTGAGACAATAGTTTCGTTCACTGAATTACTGTTCGATTGGTATCTCCATCGCCACCATGCCACTTTCATACGATCCCAGATATTTTCCCACGAATCCATCGCTGGTCTTACATCAAGTAATGCAAATGTGTATTTTTCATTGACTTTGCCACCATCGTAGTAATCAATAATGTATCTCACGTTTTTCCCGCAACGATCTATGATCCAATCGTGCCGATCGAAGGGTAGCTCGTACCTGTATAAAAAGAATATCTCATGTAGCCATTACTTGGGTTGTACAGAGATTTATAGGAATTGTGAGACATACCCCATCCAGTAACGAATACGCGCACGTGGAGAATACTTGGATGCCTTCCCACCAAAACTACGTAATTTCGGGTTGCCACATTCTCGGGCATGAAGAGCTTCCCATTTAAGAACTTCTTGCCACGCCTGTTCGTTGTTAGCATTGTGAATTTTTATTATATCATCCATATCTTTCGGAGATATGTCATCTTCTTTCCATCGCCATCCTTTTCTCAACATAGCGTTCCAGAACATTTGCTGCGAGGGATATACCCAAAATCCTCCTTCTTCAGCTGCTTTGGGAATCGATGAAATCTGTCTATCAGTCGGCAAAGAAAACGGCTGATCTGGTGCAGGTTTTTGATTTGCTGGCGGCATCTGTAAGTTACATTCACATTTATTTATTACAGTTAAAAAATAGAAATAAAAACAAATCAGTTATGTTAACTCCAAAACTTTATTTTATACATACCATATTTAATGGATTTATTTCACTCTCATCCATTTTATCTATCGGACATTCACTAACATAACTTATAGTATTTAATTGACTTTTCTTGTGCATAGGACATTCTGGTGGTGGTTCACCTTCATACTTCTTTGTCCTATGGGATTCTGGTTTGCTAATGTGTTGAGATGCTGGTACTATTACATCTGCTGCTGATATAGAAGCTGTTGTGAGAGCATTGCCCATTTTGTGATTGTTGTTTTTCTAATAAAAGAAAAAGCACAATTTTTATAATAATATAAAATCTAAGTACTAAGATGAAGTTATCTTAATCTAAATCAAAGGACAGAATCATTATTGATCCACGACACAAGTTCTACTTAAAAACAAAATTTATTTTGTAACACATCTAGGTGAAGATAAAAAATCTATTTAAAAAATGATCCTGAACTTGCTAGCAAATGTGGTTATAACCTTTAAATTCAATTATGATTATGCAATAGGATATATTTTTTAAAATTATATAAATCTTATGTGATATTCATACAGAAAATACCTCTATGAAAAAGAGAAAGATATTTTATAATTTCTAGTAAAATTACTATAATTTTTCAGTGATCTTATTCAAATTTACTCTGTTGTAGATACTTAATTAAAATCCTACTTGAGCGACACTGAATAAAATAACCTCATCTAGGTTTTATACTTTTACTGTTTAGGTATTAAAAATATAAAAATAAAACTTGTGTTTATTTAGAAGAAATCTTAACCTTTAAGATTAAAATTTATATGTGACACATGTCAAGTACCTTGAGCGTTTAAGTACCAGAATAGTAAAACTGAACACTTAATGATAGTTATATACACAGAAGCATACGCAGCGTGGTCAAAAATTGAATTGCACATGTGCCAGTGTGGTAAAGGCCATCACACATGAAATTACTTAAAACCGTAAAACGTAGCCGTAAGAAAATTGACCAATCAGAAATTTACGTCCGAGAGTGATGGCGACATAGTACGGTCTTAAGTAATTTTATGTGTGATGACCTTTAACAAATAGTATCATAGAGAAGACTGAAAGCAGCCAGAACCATATGAAATGGCAACTATGTAGTTATGTCCACGAACGACTTGTCGGTACGTACGTTATGTTCAAAAATCTCCGATTAACCAAGTCGACTGATTATTTTGTTAGAATTAATTAATTGCGTTGAATTATTAGTCGAATTGACTAATCGCGGTTGACGCAATCGGCTGATTAACTTAATTGGAGATTGTGAACTGGCCTATAAATGTGTAGCTTCTCGTGTTTACCACATGAGGTCTCTAAACTCTGTTGAATTTAATCACTTTCAACTGACAATTTGAATCTTATGTTGTTTGATGTATACTTGCGTACTTGTTTCCGTTTATATCTAATTTAGTGTTGATTTTTTCAGTTATTTTAACTCTGAATTAATCCAGGTACGATCACGATAACATCATTACTTGTTAGATTTAAGATATTTCTTGTACATATACTTTCTCAGCGAAATAAATTTATTGCCACTATGATATTGCAATCAAATTATAGCGTTTGTTTCATTAAGTGATTTTTTTTTATAAAATAAAATCTCAATAGCAAGATCTACCGATACAATTTATTTGGTAAATTGTTTGTAATTACTAATAAATCTGTGGAAAGCTGATGAGCCACAGTGATGTCTTATTTGAGTAATAAAAAGTTAAAGTTTGTTAATATGGTTGTAGAAAGGGCGAAGTGTGTCAATCTCAAGTGTGAAAATGTATTCGAATTCGATCGGACGTAGTTCTAGTGCAGGGAGAATATCTATGTTTGAGCGAGAGGACAGGAACTTATTACGGAATGAGCAGCGAAGGACGCATACGTTAAAGAAGGGAAGCAATGAAAATTCTCATATTCCCAGACCTCGTTTTAGAAGTTCTTCCAGCGATCGAGCAGGATCGCTTGGTAGAAAATCTTATCTGAAGATAACAGGCATGTGTTTGAAAAACAAAATTTTTTATATTAATGTTTTAACAAGTAATAATAAAAGTAATAAAATTAATATTAACAATTTTGTATGCTAGATACAAAAGCAATGATGATGTTTTTAAAGTATGAGATAATCTTTCTTGATTTTGTTGAAAATTTCTTTATGTTGTGAAAAATATATTTGAACTGAATATATGTATAGTGTAAATTTATATAAATTACAAAGAAACAAAAATTATACTATATACTAAAAATATAATACATTTGTATATATACAGGCAAAACTCCATTACTGCATCTACCTACAACTCCAGTCACACCAGCAAGAGCCTCTAGACATAATTTATTGAGTTTAGGGCTAACAGCAAGTAGTAGCAAAAACCATGTATCTATGTCTCGATCACCTTCAGCTGAAACTGGTGCAAGCTTTTTGGGTAATAAAGGTCCCAAAAAAGACAGAAGGACTTTAATAGACAAGACCTATCAAGCAGAGTTGCTAAATAAGATAGACAACTATTTTTGTGTTAACGAATGCTCAGGAATGCTCAATAATGGCTCTTTCAAGTCTGTCACGTTAAAGATGTTTGTGGAAGTTACTAGCTTTCTATTGAAGTTCTTTGATATAAAGCAGGAACTCACATTGGCAAACTATATAGAGGAATTGCCAAAATGTGCGAAGAAGCTACATTATCCAGGCATGATAAACAAATCGTGGTTAAAGACTGCCAATACAATGCATTCTTATCCTCATGTTCTGGGATGGGTTGGCTGGCTGGTAGAAGCTTGCCAAATTAAAGAAATAGCATTTGAGAAGTACCAACTAGAAACTTTGCCATTCATAGGATTTGAAGAGCAAATACAAAGTTCCAAAATAGAATTTCTCACATTTCTGGATTGTTACAACGCTTGGACAGAAGAAAATCTCAATGAGGAAGAAGAAATTTTGGAGAAATATTTCAAGGATATTATGATTCAGCAAGGCATTACTGAGGAAGATATAGCACAAGCACATGCGAAAGTAGAAGACGAAATCTCACTATTACATATGATAGAGAAAGAGTCGCAGGAGATAGATGAAGAAACTAAACAATTACAAAAAGAACTGTCATTATTAGATGCCAAGGAAGCTAAATTAATGAATGATATCAAGTCCAAAGAAGATTGCATGAAAAAGATCTCTTTTGAGACAAATTTGTTAAATACTGAATATGATACCTTAAACGAACAAGTCCGTACGGGAAATTTGAAGCGAGAAGAGTTGATTTCGATTGTGAAGAGCCAGCCAATGTCGAAGGCTGAGAAAGAAGTACTTGTGCAAAAATGTACAGAACTTCAAAACTATGTGCACGAGTTTGATGAGCATTTGAACGATTATAAGAAGGAATTGTACAATTTGGACATTAAATTAGCATTTATCAATAATAATCTCAATAAAGCAATCTTGGAATATAATAAAGAGGTCTTTATGCTCATTGATAAAGATGCTGACGTGAATTTCGATGAATTAAGGTTGCCAGAGAAAGGTTTGTTGGACCCACAGATAATGATCGTGTTGGAAGAAAAAGTTGCTCTAACGAAAACTTTCAGAGAATTATTAGCAAAGCGATGCAACGAGATAGAATCTGTCATACGATCTAACGCTACCAAAATAGAGAAACTACAGGAAAAAATTAATTTACTACCGGACGATGATAAGTTAAAGGAGGAAAAATCTCGTATTGATCAAATGAAAATGGATACGAAAAAGGAGAAGGAAAAAATAACGAAACAGATAGAAAATGTCAAAACTGACATCAACAAAATACAAGATATGATGCCGGATATAAAAGCGATAGATCTTGAAATAGAAGAAGTCAAGGATAAATTGGACGCTGTTACTAGAAGAAAAACATTCTTGCAACAAAATGCCGCACGATTTTTCGGCGAGTTGTATACAATTATCGGCGATCACAGAAAGGAGCTTAAAGATATTCTGACCAAATACAAGAAGTAAGCTCTGCGTTAATTTAACGATATCATATTTTAATATTATTTATTCTATATACATTTTATTCCATTATTTTGTGTTTCTTTTTTTCAAAACATTAAAACAACACGCTAAAATCATACAAATTCTAGCATATAAATATACATATATATATATATATCTAGTAGAATGTACCTATACATATAAACGTCATGTACATATAAATAAAATATTTTTATATTCTTAGTTCTACGTGGCCAACAATGTTTAACACAACACAACCATCGTCGTGCAACGTCGTTCAGTCGGACTGAAACGCTTAATACTATTTAGCAGAAAATTATGATCAGTTGCGTTCTACTAAACGCTACCTCTGTGTGTAATATAATATGTTTTTTCCTCCCTTTCAAGTAACGTTTAAAATAATCTTGACTAGCAAATGCTTCAATTAGCGCGTTATCAGCGCCGTGTCGGCAGCCGCTCGTGTGCGATATTGAGAAATTCGCGCGTACGTATTATAGAATCTGCGGTAGAGCACACATGCTTTCGGAAAATATGAGAAGTTGTCAGGTTTCAAATTGGAGAAGATAATACGAAATGTAAAAAATGTTATCTGCAAATACAGGAAAAGGTCGTGCAAAATTTAATAAAATAACAAAAGTAACAAATTCGTTATTTCTTTACGGTTGACGCACACTTTTATCACGTATGTGTTTTATGCTATTTATTTAATAATTCATTACACATAGTGTTATTATATGATATTAGCGCTACATACTTATATCAGGTAATATATTAAAAACAGACGTCTTGTGTAGTATTTAAGATACGTGTGTGTGTGTATATGAGTCTGTGACGTCACGACGCACGCGCAGCAAGAGTGCTCGTGCCAGAGAATAAAAATCTCGGCTGCTCGCCACACTGCGGCCCGACATATTGCGGGCTCGCGCAAATAGGTAGGGATATGAAATCACTTGTGAAATGTATTAACGGCTTCGCGCCGCGCGCGCGTTGATGCGGTTTTTTTTCGTCCTGACAAGGCGATTCGCGATCAACCCACGTCACACGCACTTGTTGCTGCACCATGGCTGTTAGTACAATCCGACGATACGTCGCGGAAGTGTTCACCGAGCGAGAATTTCTACGGTGCTCGTTTCGTCGACCTCGTGGGCATCGCGACGACTGCGCGCGCGACGCGTCGACGCGCTGAAGCATTCTGTGCGCGAGGTGAATGAAAGAAAGGCGCGATTGTCGTATATCTACCGCGTTTTTTTATATTTGCTGTGCAAGTGATAAGAATAAAGAAAAATAAATTAAAGAAAGCTCATAGAGAAAATTTATACATGCAAAGTGTAAAAGAGTTTTGCGTCTCTCGTTCTGATTTGTAAAAAACCAAAAATGCAACATTGATTATAGGAGTGATAATCGAAGTTTGTTTTGTGACAAGAGAGGTGAGTTTTTGCGAATCATTATATGCACTTTTATTTACGAAATTGTTTTGTTGATATTGATCTTCAAATAAGATAATTGCTTGATAAGATATTTTAATCTTCGATTAAAATACAAACAGCTGATAAAAATGAACTTTTTTTACATATTTATTTCACTATGATATAAGTAATTAACTAACGATATATTATTGAATATTGAGTTTATTTTAAGATTAACACACACATTTCTCTTAAGTTTTTCTTAAGTCATTTATTAGTCGATTTTGTGTATCTGAATGCCAGCTCGAATTGGAATTTTAACAATTTGTATCATGTATGTAGATAGTTTTTAATTCTGTTTTTTTTTTTTTTTTTATTTTAAATAACGGATCGGATTGTTCCGAATTATATGAATAAAGCACTGTCGCGTAGACGCAAGAAATAAATAAGTTTTGTTATTGATCGAGAGATCTAAGTCAATTACGAATCGTAATTATTTAAATTTTGCAAGAACCGATATTTTATTACGAGGATGAGCGCTCGAGACTGTCTGTCCGATTTCGCCGTCAATTGCTGACGAAGACACTGGCTATGTATGTGTATATAGAAAAAGTGACCTAACAGATCTCTCTCAGAGAGACAAACGGTAGAGAACCAAATAATAAGAACAAATTATATAATACGCACTCATCAACCGAAAATAAGTTTAAACTTTACAGGTCGAATAACAGTTCCTACACTGATGCATGAATATATAATGTATTCAAAAGTATCTGACACTGGATCTCCCTTTGACCTTTTATGATGATCCACTTTGTGGGTGCATAATTATAGATATTGTTGATCGCGACTCTCTTTGTCACACACACACACACACACACGCGCGCACGCACGCACACACACACACACACACACCGCGAAACGCGAGATAAGCGAGATTTTATCAGAATCCGATCACGGATCACGCTTTGTATTATCGGAAACTAACTGTCGATGTTTTATTCAACAGCTCCGCTCGAAACGGGCTTAATTAATCCAAGATGTATGCGAGAGTTTTAATCTATTATTTTCTAATGGAATAGAGAATGTTCACTGCGTGCATTTTATCAAGTTGCGTTTATTAATTAAACCGCTCTCAGCGAAAGGGTCACAGAGGTCCATGCGATAACCGGCGGAAGAGTCTTGGCTTCTTACAATTCACGAGCGTTACACACACGCGCGCGCACGCTTTATTATAAGACACGATTGTAAATCTCTTCTTCCTCTCTCTATTGTATTATATTTATTTTATATATTGGACGACATCTAACGGTTTTATATATCAGAATGGAATTGGAGGTAAAATCGAGATTTGCGCTTCGAGAAGAAAACGTTTCATAAATGTTTCTGAGAACAACGGCTGAAAGAAATTGCGCGAATCATATACGAACATTAATTTTATTCACTACTGATTCACTCTTCTTCGACGGTAAGCGCGCGGGCAGCTTAGCACTTCTTGCGCTACTCGCAGGAAGTGTGAATTAGTGACGAAATCTGACCTACTTGACCGCGCATATCGTACGAATTTGCTACGAATCTCCTTCAATCTCTTAAGTGAGTTCTATAAAAGTTACGGGCCGGCACAAGATGATCCACTTAGGTTCATTTCCGAGCGCACGAATGTCGGAAGAATATGAAGATTATATCGCGGGCGCGCCATTAAGTTTATTGAGTCTCGCGAAAGTCAACGTGTTTGGTGGATAATTTTCGCGCTCAGACAGTATTGAAATTGTGCTTTCGATGCACGATCGAAAGAGAGATATATTACTCATGTATGTGCGTTAGATGAAATACCACGCCAAGAAGAATTTTCCGACCAATATAGCTATTGATCGGAAAGCTCGATATAAAAAGGATGCAAGTGGCGGAAATAGAAATGTCACGAATCGGATATTTATCTTAGAATCTTGAAATAAACAAAAAAAAAACGTTGATGCGCTTTTTTGTATTGAAATTGAGATCCATTTGACGTTGCCGTTTTCGGCAATGACAATCTTCTTTTTATTGCGGATTTAATAAAAAAGAAAAGAAAAGAAACAACCAGCGGATCGTGTGTCTGCGGATCTTCAAAAATTAACACGAACTAAATTTCATTTTTTTAAAGTTAAATAAAAAATGATCACGTTAGGTAAACTAATTGCGGAAGAATTAATAGTTTCTCATCGATTTTTGCGCAGGAAGCTTTTACAATTTCTCGTCACGAGCCGCGCTTCTGCTTCACAGGAACTTTCCGAACGAGAACGGGCATTTTTATGTAGCAGGACGTCGGAATATGCGAGAAAGCGTTCTTGCCGTGCTATTAGCATGGATACTTGCGGCCCAGCAAGGACTGTGCGGCAACTTGGAAAAAGTCGCCCTACGACCGAACAATATCTTAGAAGATTTTTCCGCCTATCGTCACATCTCGATCGTTCATTTCGAGGTGCCGGAACGTATAGTCGCGGCTGTTTTCAAGTACGTGTATTAGAGAATCGAATAAATTAAAAAATTTCGATTCTTTAATCTTTTTTTTTTTTTTTTACTGCTTTGTTTTTAATTCCTTTGAATCTTTGTGAATCAGATTTACAGCGAAAGAAGAGAAGACTGGCGGTATAGGTAAGTGTTCGCCGCGCAACATTTCGTTGCATTTGAAATCCGGCAGTTTGCCGTTTGTCCGTCCCGATGGATCGAAGGTGAACGCTAAACTATTGGAGATGAAGAAACGACGGCAATATCACAGTCTGAATATGCGTAGCGATGGCGATAAGTACATGATCAAGGTGGAAGCTCCATCGGCGGGCGACTGGTACACGATCGCTTTCCGATCCTGGATCGATCCTGACAAGGAGAAGATTAAACAGCAAGGTAAACAACGCAGTTCCAAATAAAAGCAAAACTTAATAAGAATTTGCATATTTAAAATCATCTTTCTCGCAGGTCTCAGCGTCTCTTGCGAAACCGTGATGGATGCTGAAATGTTCATAGAAATGCCGACGAAGACGTCGCTTGTAGCGGATCCCGAAGTCGAGCATGAGATACAGCTGGACGAAGCCTCCGATACAGCAATAGTACAATATTTCTTACCGGACGTTGGTATGGCGAAGCTGAGTCTGTACCTGAACTCGTCCTGCGGCGAGGATTGCGAGATCGACGTCCACGTCACGGCAGGAGACACACTCGTCAACGGTCTATTTAACTCCACGATGTGGGTACAGATGTTCAAGCCTTATTCCGACGAATTTCATTGCGTAACTCTTCGTCTGCTGTCGGGGAACGCGTCGAACGTGACGATGCGACTCTTGACAAATCGCGAACACCAAACGAACGACAAGTCGACACCAGTGAAACTATCAAAAAAATCCTTTCCGGATTTCTTTCTCTTCGACTATGAACATCTGCGCGGTAACGATACAAAACCGCAGGCCTTCAATGTGACCGCCGAAGCTCTTTCTGTTCTGAAGTTTAAGATTGGCAGAGTGTACGATGTCGGTGGCACGGTTACTCTCGGTTTCAAGTTGGTCGACGTAGAGGAGAAGAACAAGAAAGCGATTGTTCTCGTAGCTTGCGTTTCCTTAGGTCAGTTGATCGTATTCTGCTATATAGTTGTTTTTACATCACTTATTTTCTACTTTATATTTTGTTCTTATAGTTTTTCCAATCTTCTCTTTTTGAAATTTCTGATTTTTTTTCAAAGGTTACTACACCAATATCACTTCGGATGGTGGTTGTGTCCGCGCGAACACCATTACGACGGCAGACGTCTACACAAACGCAACCGAGCCGGCTTACGTGCACATACCTTTTCCGGAGGCAGGAACCTGGTACGTCAGCCTGCGTGTCTTTTGCCCTCACAGAAAAGTGGTCGGCAGCAACAACACCGATATCAAGACCGATCGTACTTGCCCGTGCGATCATGTCTGTCTACAAAACAACTCAACGTGCGACATGTGCGACTGCCTGCCGCGCTGTCCATTGGCCCGAGTAGAGAGCATCGTGTCGTCATCACCGTGCATAGAAGGCCGTTGCGGCCGTCGCGGCAAGTGCATGCACTACATGAGTGGCAGTTTTGTGTACTCGGCCTGTCATTGTACTGGTGGTTATCGCGGTTTCGATTGTGCTGACGCGACCTACGTGCTCAGCAGCAGCCGTATTCTTCTGCAGTTGCTCGCATTGACTTTCAGCAACTTTGCGTTCTGCGGCTCGATCTACGTTGCGATCCGACGCGAATACTTCACCGAAGCGGTCGCTTATGCAGCTGTCATGTTCTTCTCTACGTTCTATCATGCCTGTGAAGCCGGCGAGGATGTGTATAGCATGTGCATTATGAGGCTGAGTGTGCTACAGTTTTGCGACTTTTTCAACGCGTTACTCGCAATTTGGGTCACCCTAGTAGCGATGGCGTCACTCGGACCGCGATTCACCGCATTTTGCCAAGTGGCCGGTGCGATTGTTCTCGCCATGGGAGCCGAAATGGATCGTACGGCGCTGTGGGTGTTCCTGCTACCGGCAGTTACTGGCTCCGCCTTAATCGGATTATCCTGGGGACTCAGGTGCAGAATAAAACGAACCGTCAGATATCCCTCACGTCCGTACAGGTAAGAAATAGATATTTTTCCGTTTCACAGATGTAGATGCGATGATCTATTTCACGAGATGTTGATTGTTTCTGTTCAGGATAATCTATTTACCGGCTGGGTTCTTTCTCGTCGCTCTGGGCCTGATTTGTTACGCTTTTCTGCAAACGCGCAGAAATTATTATCTCGTTCATAGTTTCTGGCACATATGCGTAGCCATAGGAGTCATTTTATTATTGCCGAAGCGGCAATACATGAAATGATGATTCGTAGAAAAACGCATAATTCAGGAAAAATTTGAAAAAAAATCAGAATTATGAGAAAGTGTATGATAGTAAAGCAACCAAAGAGACATCAGGGAAATTATTAAGACAAAAGCTCACACATAGACTGGGTGCATACGTATATATTATATCAAAGATGTTATTGTTCTAAAAATAATATATAGAATTGAGATCGTTCTTATGGAAGAAATTAGTATTTAGCAATAAGACGTAATACACACATGAAGAAAATTCAACGACAGTATTATATTTGTGGCAAAAAGAACATTTGTGAACCTGCATAGTTCGGCGTGACTCTGAAAGGCAGGATTTTGCTCATTTTAATAAACACTATGAAAAAGTTGGAAATAAAACGATAAGTTATTTATGAATAAGGTTATTTATGAATATTTTTTCGTTTTAGAGACTTTGACGTAGAGTTTGAAAGCAATATTTAAAAATATTAAAAGAAAAGGAATAATTACAATCATGAAACTGATAAGGTTGAATTTTATAAAAGCGGTAGTTATTGCTTAATAAATACTTCCAGAAAACATACTTTGACATTCCGGGAGCTGTATTGTCAGTCGCACGAAGAGCTAGAATGTTTCACTTGTTACTTCGTTGAGTCGCGTGAAAGGACCTGTTCATAAGGACCAATTGTATTACTAGGATAGATAATAAGATACTTGAAACGCGCGTGATAAAAGATTCCTTGTGCGAGTGGTGCTTTTTTTAGAATTTAGTCACTTGCATTACACTGGCGTATATGCAAATGTAGCTACAAACAAAGTATCTGAGCACAAAGGCGTAATACAATATCTCACCAGTGTCCAACATAATGTTAAATAATATAACATTTTATTTTTTGTTTTCAAACACAGAACACTTTTATTATTCGTGAATAAACTTCGTGTGTAGCAGCCTTTGAATATTTTCCAGTGTAATCTAGTACAAGCAAACTTGTTACTATTTACATGTTCTTTATTATTTCCAGTGTTCCATTACTCTGTTATTTTATAGCGAGTTAACATATGCAATTAGTGTAGCAAATTATCAGTTGTTAATTTTTGACTGAATACAGAAATAGTACTCTGTAATTAACACTTAGTGATATCTTGATTCAGATTTATTTTGACCAAAAAATTGCGCAAGATAAGTGTATAATCGTGCCATATATTTTCTCTTCTGCAACAAGAAGATTTAAATTCTAACTTTATTTTATCGAACGTATATATTTTATTGATCACATACACTAGGACGGTGTAAGCGTAGAAATGTAAAATTTAAGGAATATAAATCCTTTTGCCTATGGGAATTGGTACCTCGCATGTGAGCGTTTTCTACCACTAGATTACACGAGAATGAGTGTAAAAAATAAAGACACGTACATACATACATATATTTAGTCTTTCACGACAAAAATCAGCGAGATTGAGAGATGTGGACATAAATATATGTACTATAAGATACAATACAAAAGAAATAATATTTTTCTACGTAAAACACACACACACATATCTCTTATCTAGAAATTAAAAACCTAAATTACATATAGACTCCATGTATTTTATTTTTTCGTTTTGCAATAATCATATTTCCTGCTTCTTGTTAATAAATATCACAAATATATATAAATCAATATTTTCTGATGTCATCAGTAGAAAACAATATACGGAGAATTGATAGAATATGAGAACGGAGTTGTCTTAGAAAATTGCCTTGTATCTATGACAGTCTTTTTCTTTCTTGAGAAAGTAAGTAAATATAGAAAAATACTCGTGTCTTTATTTTCTGATTCATTCTCGTGTCTGGTGCACCGTGTGTGTATACTGGCGTTTTGGAGAGAGTGTCGCAGATAGGTGAATGCGTCGTCGTCATGGGCAGTGCCTGTACTGATTGTTGACACATGTGTTAAAGGCAATGCGTTGCGACCGTATCGCGATTCTAGTCGATTCTATTTTTCTCAGTGTGAAAGTCATATAGAATGTGTATAACGTTTTCTAAACAACTGAAAAAAAGAATGTCACGCTGGGTGCACAGAGGTTTTGTCAACAGAGAGAGAGATATGTCACTTTTACATACACACACATAATTCACATACATACACGTACATAATTCTCTACGACATACAAATCAGACCATTGTTGCACGGATCGAATTAAAAAAATTACAGAAGTAATCGAAACGTCCGCTCTGTTTGTGATAAATAATTCTATATCAATATTACAAAACTATTAGCAGACTACTGTGTTATTTATCTTCAATGCATCGTAGAAAGTATAATAAACACAACGTCGACATAGTGATCATACGCGTCTTTTTATCTCTTCCTTCCTCTCTCTGATTCACTTAAAGTTTTATCAAATCGCCTTTTATTCTAATTTCCAAGAAAAAAATATTTGATAAATCAACTGTTACAGTGATGAGGCACCGGTGGGCGTCGCAGCGCGCGCGTTTGCCGCTGCGATGACGTTGGCCAGCAGCGACAGCATTGTTTCCATCGACAATCCGCAATGCGGATACGATCTGGAGCAGTTTCTGCCGGCTCTGCCGGTTTCCACCGCCTCTTCGATCGCCGTACCCTGCAACGCGGTACGGAACACTTGATTAGTGGTGATGGTGTTCACCATTTGGTCAAAGGACGACACCTTTTCGTCCTTTTCGTTCTCGTTCTCATTCTCGCCGCTGACCGCGGCCGCTGCTTGCTGCGAATACGTGCACACCGCGCGCTGCATGCACGAGGTCGTGTCGATGCCGTGACGAGCCAAGATATCATCGATTCTTGTCAGAGTTTGCGTAAAACCCCCATTGTCATCGCCTATGTTAAATCGCTCATATAAGTAAAACTACTAGAGTGAAACACTGCTGTCAATATTTTTATAAAAACAATTAGAATTTTTTAAATTAGAATCAATTTGCGATTTTACAAATCACTTACTTCTCGTATATGTGCCATAAGTCCCTGACAGAATATAGAGCAGTTTTGGTATGATGAGAATCGATCCCACGCCTATGATGGCTCCCAAAAGAAGTCCGCCGAGGTCGATTTTTGCCGGTGCGTAAGGCGATACGCCGTAACCCTAATGCAGATTTAGATTGATTGCTTAAATTTATTTTACACGAAATAATTTACATAAAATAATTTCATCAAGAATGTTTACAGAAGTAAAAGAAAAATATTGAATATCTATTCAGAGAACGAAAAAATTTCACTCACGCTCCCTGTACTACCGATATTAGTGAAACCACCGAATCGTGCTTCTTGGTTGCGATCTGTTATGTCATTCGTCTCGGATTTCGACGTTACGTCGTGCTGTTTAATCTGAGTCGACGGCATGGCTATTTGATCCTGCGCTTTCGCATACTTTTCCATATAACTAGTGGAACTGGGCATGAACCTGTAAATATTGAAACGTTATATCGTATCGAAAGAAAGTTTTTAATAAAACTTCGACAATTTTTCACTCACCCTTCTTCGAACTTCGGACTGCAGTTGACCAGAATGGCGAAACAGCTCAGCGCCACGGTTAAACTCCGCGAAATAAAACGTGTCATATTTGTTTTTAAATAAAAATAACGCAGCAATTTACAGATTTAAATGAAAACTATTCTCAACGGAGCGACGAAGGTAAAAATTCAAGGCGATATGAAAAAAAATGTGAAGTTTGAGGTCAATTTTATAGAACGAGATATGGCGATTCAGTGTCACGGACTGGACTGCGCGAAGCTCGTCTTCTGGCATATATAGTTGCTCTGGTCGTCTGAACACACCGACAAGTCGTGGTCATAATTGAAGCCGCGGTTTCGCTTTCATTGTTTAGGTCTTCATGGGACGTTAACACGCGGTGCGTGACACTTCTCCGTCATCATCATCATCGCTGTCGTTCGAAGAAGATCGCCCTCATCTTCTTCTGCAGCGGCTGCAGCCGCGTTGTTTTTTCTTTTCTTCGTCCGTTCGAAATCCCGAAGCTGAAATAATGACCGGACCGCGAACAATGACCTGTTAAGATATTCACTGACTTCTGACGACGAGATTTCGCGACGTCTCCGTCACCTACGGAATAGTATCCGCGCGTATTACAATTTCCGGTCGCGTTACGAAACACGCGCAACCTCGAGGGTGGTCACGGCCCGTACCTGTCTGTTTGTGCGATTTTGACGCTTCCGAGCACAATATTGTTAGCGCAATTAACAACTTGAACGCGTCTCAAACGAAATCTCGCGAAAGTTTCTTTGTCTAATATAAATAAAAAATAATACCGTTAAGATATTGCGACTATCTGTATAAAATATATACGCGACAGTCACGGAAGTTCGATGTAATAGCGGCAGGATTTACGCTACGAGATTATGTGGCCGAAGTTCTTCCGGTGAAAAGAATTTTCGTCGTGTAATGAAAAGATATTTGTCGTGTATGCATTCGTCATGCGCGAGCGAAAGAGCAGTGCGAATCAAAACTCCCTTTCGCGACAAACACGAGTTCTCGCGTGTCGCGCTCTCCCCTCGCTCGATGGAATCCGTTCTGGACGATGCTCCGGAAAATTCGCGACGAAAGCCACGGCCGGCGAGCCCGCACGACTAATTCCGTTGCACACGCGCGTTCGTTCTTTCACCGCCGGTGAAAATTCGCGCTTACAATTCCACGTGAAACGCGTCAACCGCGGTAATTACGGGGCCCGGTGCAATGGGCCTACGCGAAACGAGCCGGTGGACACGGGTAATATGCCACAGGCAGGTAATCGTCATGAAAACGCAATTACTGATATATGTTATATCTTACGGCTGCAGTTTCGCCGCGCGAGAAGTCGTTAATTATACGAAGCCGCGAGAAATCGGTATTTCCTGTTTCAATATGGGGTGGGCGAGGCTTCTTATAGACCGGGGGACATTCAGTGGGGGATCTGCTACACTCGTTGTTGAAAAGCACTCGGATAGCACTAATGCATCCCATTACCCTCTGGACGACAGAAAGCATCGCTTATTCGTACGTTTCCGAGAAAGTATTGGCGTTTTACTTAATTCAATAATAGCTGAAAAGGATTTCGGATATGAAACTTCCGATAGACCCGACTGTCGTCTTTCTTCCGTTGGCGTTGTGGTTCGCGCGAGTCATCGGCGATGGCGACGTGAAACCATCCGCCAAGCTTAACGGTCAGTTCATCAATAATCACAAGGCTCAACTTATCTCGTTCGATTCCAAAGGTGGTGAGATTGAAGTAAGTGTATCGATATTTGTTGTTATATATATAATTTAACGCGTATAAGTCGCACTTCCTAAAAAGTTAAAATATAACATATAGTTTCTGTCAAAAACAATCTTTGTGATCAATTTCCCAGATCAATTGGGACGTGTCAGTACCTTTCTTCACGATACCATTGAATCATATAGGCGAAAACGGAGAGGTATTCCCGTTGCTCAACGTCAACACACGAGGATTGTCGGTCGCCGGCTTATTAACAGGCATTCTCACTCTAGCGGTGCCCCTCTTGTCGAAGCCAGGTCCAGGAATGCATTACCGAAGTACGGATTTTAATAGCATTTCTTTATTTTTATTTCTTTACTGTTAAAATACATGTATATTATATGCTGTAAAAATGTGTATTATTAAAAAATACTTACATATTTTTAAAATACTTTATGTCTGGTCTATGAGTTTCTTCGCAGGCATTGATTCACAATGGTCGCGAATGGGAGATGCGCTAAACGAGATCATGCTTGGCAACAGTTACATCACACCCTGTGTACAGCGCATTATTTGTACCATGGTTGCCGAGGCGAGTCATTCGGATAATCCCACGAGTACCGACAAGATCATCGATGGCTTGTCAAGGTATAGTAGTTGACTCTTCTAATCAGACAGATTGCAAGAATATAGCCTGAGCCAATGTATACAAAAATAACGATAAAAGTGAGAGCAAGAATGAGATTCTTCAACTTAATGTTGAAAAATACTCGCGCAATAATAATGAAATAACGATCAAAGCGAGCGTAAAGCTTTCTCTAAAATCTCATCGACAATTAAGTGCTAACTGCATATCACGCTTTTACAAATATTAACTACATAAGTACATATAATGAATTATTATCCAATTACATATGTGATTACGTAAAAAATTTTAATCTTAATAAATTTTTATTTTAAATACCTCGAGCAGTCACAAATGGTTTAGAGAATTCACTAATGGCACAGTTCTTCAAGAAGCTGTAAGGATGGGACGAGAAGAACAAGACTGCGGACGAGTTTATAAGGAGTGTTTCGTGACGCCGAGAATTCTTAAAAGTATTATGATGCAAATCGGCGTAATCTGATATCACTATGATCGATTAAATAGACAAATTAATGAAGGTATTGCGCATATAAAAAATACAATTTTTCACATATCCTTTTTTATCATATTATTATTCAATTGCAGTATATATATATATATATATATATGTATATATATAGCGTGTAATACATCCATAAGTTTAAAAAAAAACTTATAATTAATTACATTAATTAAATTAAATTAATTAAATTATTTTTAATTTTTTTATATTTAATTTAATTTGTCAATATAAAAAAGTCTGGGAAATCTAATGTTTAGTTTTGAAATCACTCAGAATGTAATGAGCGAGTTACGTCAGGGAAGTCAATCTTCATTATTCTGATAGACGAGGTGTGAAATTTCGTCGCGCTCAAGAAATCACACCACGTACTTAGATGACACTCCAGTGCGTGCTTTCACTTTTCTTTTCACATTTTTAATTTTTTTTTCATACTTTTCATCTACACACACATTTATAAGATCTCGCATTTATATTTGTGAAATACACTGTAATATCTGTAAATTTTTGTAAAAATTTTTGTTTTTATCTATATAGATTAATTTCTTGTTTTATTACTTATACTATAGAAATGTTTTTTGTACGTGTGTATACATAAAACATGCAAAAAGTATGTTACTAAAAATAAATTAAAATTTAACAAATATATCACATTCTTTTTTCTTATAATTAATTTAACTAAAATTATACTAAAATTGCGTATATATATATATATATCTCAATTACAATTTTCTTAAACATCAGCAATTAGTAATTTTTTCTTAAATATATATTTAAGAGAAAATATATATTTTTCAAGTTTTAGAAGTCTGATCTCACTCGCTTTGCAAAATGATTACTACTCTATTGTTTCTTCTAATAAAACGTCAGAATTATAAGAAGAGATAATAAATTATTAAATTTTACTTTTAATGCAAATTCAAATTATCAAGGTCGAAATTTATTTTCATATCAACGTGATAAGGTGTTGATAAACTTAGATCTTGTTCCAACGTTGCAGTTTTACTATTAACAACATTACCATTTTGCGTGGAAGATTCTAATAAGCATAGCGCATCCGCCGCACATGCAGCTTTTGCAAGATCCGCCGCAGTTTGTCCTAGCATATCGACACTGTTCGGATCTACGCCGTGTTCCAGCAGAAATGCGATAGTTTCCGCGTGATTGTGAAGAGAAGCGAAATGTAACGGTGTACATCCGGAGACATTCTTCTGTGACAAATCCACACCGGCTATCAAATACGACTGCAAGCGCTTTGTGTTTCCGGTAGCCGCGGCCACGCACATTTTCTCTCCTATCAGTAAAGCATTGCCGTGAAGATGCGCGCCGCAGTGCAACAGCATCTTGATAATCTAGAAAAATCATGCGGACATTGCAGTTACAATTAACAAAACAGAGCATTATTTATTGCATTATTTTCGCAGCTTAAATCGTGAATTCTTACATCGTGATGATCGTATTCGATCGCATCTGTAAGAGGTGTGCGGTCGAACCGATCTTTGACGTGAACGTTCGCGCCCATCTTCAAGAGATGCCGTGCAACATGTATATCACCTTCACAACAAGCTATGTGCAAAGCCGTTCGGCCATCTGCGTTTGGCTGCGAGATATCCGCACCCTGAATAGAAAAAGCCGATTATACATAAGAACCTCTAGCTATAATACACTATTGTATATTTGACATTATTTTTACATTTCTCTCAGTGTTCAATTAAAATAATCGGCTTACTATTTAGAGGAAGTAATTTTTAATTATAATTCTGTCCTGATTTTTTAACAATAAAAACAAAATGAAAGCGAACTTCTAATTTGTGTACGAGGAAAATACATTTAAAAATTAATATAAAATAAAAAACTGAAAACGTTACTAACGTATCCCTTCAGCGACTCGAGTTTCACAGTGTCACGTCTAATCACTGCAGCGTTCAACATAGCCGGGAACAGAATCGTTCGCAATTCCTGATGTTCTGTCGCCGAGGATAATCTCAAAGATATGGCCACGGCCTCCACCAGGTCCCAGTCTTGTAAAGTGGGCGGTCGACCGGCTGTTAGCTCACCTCGTAAATTCGTCTGTATCATTTGCTGCTTTATTTCCGTGTCCCAGTCGTTTTTTGATAAGACGTACGCGAGTTTTGTTAACGCGGCCTCCGGAGTCATATCGAAGCCGGATATCACCCCTGTGCATGTATTGATAACGAATTATTAAAATGCGCTGAGAAAAAACTTGAGGAAAAATACTTGAGGAAAACGCGAACTAAATAAATATTTACACACACTAGTTTTATCACACTATCGCGTGCATTGCTCAAATTTTTACTGATAATACAATTTTTCCTTGATTTTTTTCTCCTGCTTTCAACAATTATCATTACGGTAGAAATTTATCAAAAGAATTGTGAATAAATTTTTTTCTGATATTAATTTATTTTTCCTAAAATTATATACAGTACCAGCTTCTTTAAGTAGTTTGCCAGCCTCATATGCGTCCGAGACGCATCCAGTCGCGCATTGCGTAATATTCACGATAATTACACCGCGCTTTGTTGCCGCGCGAATTTCCTCGATGATATCCTCGCGATTTGTTGGCACGTTTCCCATGCCGTAAGATTGCAACACAACACCTTCGATCGGCGGTTGAAGAAACACTCGCACCAACTCCGACGTGATGCTGGGAAACAGTCGAAGCAGGCCTACGTTTCGATTGAGCGTCGCGTGCACGTAAAACTTCTCCAATCTGCACGGGCGAAAAATAGCGCGATAGTCCACTGCAAAGAAGTATCATCTTTATAAAACATTTTTCCAGTTATCTTTGAAAAACTCAAAGAGAGAGAGAGAGAGAGAAAAAAAAATTTTCTCTCACTTGAAAACTGTTCACCTTCGATTTTAATGTTCGCCGTGGCTAACGGTTGACAGTTCGGCGAATTAAACGCCTCGAAGGACGTCACGGACACCTTGCTCGTCCGATTGCCGCGCATCAAGTTTGTGCCGAAAAACACACATACTTCCGGTATGTTGTAATTCGCCGCGATTACGAGGGATGCCAAGAAATTGTCCAGGCCGTCGCTTCTGGTGTCGAAAATCGGCACCTGCGAACCGGTCAGTACGACAATCTTTCCCAAGGCCTCGAGCATGAAGGACAGAGCTGACGCCGTGTAACTCATAGTGTCTGTACCGTGAAGAACCACAAAACCATCGAAGTACTCGTATGACTCCTGCAAAGCAAACGCTATGAGGAGTAATAATTTAATTAGTTAATCTATTATTGTTATCAAGTGCTTCCGTTGCAAGTTTTATCGTTTCGCAAACGATTCTCTTTATCTCGAACGCTACGAACAATGTTTCTAAATGAGGATGTAAATTAATAACAATCAGTTCCTTATAATGTATATATATATATATATATATATGTATGTATGTATATATATTTACGCTCAAATATATTTCAAAGAAAGAGAAGAGATTTAAATTTCAAGAGAACAAAATTAAATAAAAGAAGCATAGTTTCATTGCTCGAGTAAATATGCAACATTAATAGCGACAGAATAGCAACTCGTTCAAGTGTTTATTTCGCACCTTGATATCGTTAGCAATGCGAATCCACTCGTCCATAGTTATATTACTGGAATCGCACAGATTAGAATATTCTAATACGTTGTAAATGACACGGCGACTGTCGGTCGCTGTCACGCTGCAAAAGATAAAAGAGCAAATGTCTTAACATTGCGCAAGAAAAAACCGGACTACATTCACCCGGTAATTGCATAAGAGCGCGGTCAGATTGAAAATATTTCTACAACAAATTTCTATTAACATTATTTCTACATGAATATACACATATATGCTTACGGCAGTACTAACGGCCCCATCGCGCCGAATCTTTTATCAGCGTACTCGCGATCGTGTAGCTGCGGATATTTCCGCAGATTCTTCACGAACATGTTGGCTTTCGGTATCAATGCTGGAAAACGAAGACGCAATTAATCACTCCGATGTAGTGTAACAACTTATATGTTTTATAGTTGTTTGAAACTATTCACCGTCACATTTAAATTTTCGATTCGTATTATGTTTGGGGGACTTGATGCATGCTCAGGAAATAATCTCTGAACAAATTAGAAGATGAGAAAACTCAGGATATGAATAAAGTGTGTCCCAGGTTTTATTATAACAAGCAAACTGTTCTACAGGAAGAAATAAGAAAACTTTGTTACATGTAAACGTTTCTGGGGTCAACCAAGATTGCGTTCGAGGAACGCGCTATTGTGTCATTCTATCTCTATTTTATGTCTAACGAGCAATAAAATAGTGCAGATAGCACGTTCCCAGAACGCGCAGTCTAAGTGTCAACGATATGACATATTTGTTTATAAACAAAGATGTTATACGGACATCTTTTGCTACTTCTAAAATAAAATAGCACAACAGCTTTTCACAGTTTATAACAAAAATATATAAAGTGCTTGAAACTGAAAAATAATACAGAAAAGCAAGAAATTCATCATGATTAGATCTTTAAGAATTTTCGAAGATATATTTACTTCCACGTTCGTCTCTCATCATCCCTATCGTGCCGCCCGTATAAAGCACAAGTACGCGACCTTCCGGTTTGGTTTCGTGACTCAGGTCACCGGTGAAATTTTTCCTAACACTTGTCATATTTTCACGTATACTATTGCATTTATTCTCGTGCGACTCATAAGGCAAATGTGACATAATCGTTTTCACACGTTCAGCTTCCTTGCACGTGGCTACTGGCAGTTATCGCGCCAATGACTCTTGTAAGACTGATTAGTGAGATTGACTTCTTACGTAAGTATATATACGTGCAGTTGCAATGATATGATTACGTCAAACTGATAACAAATGTTTTATCACGATCTTACTTACTTCGTTCCTTTTCTATACGAGATATCTAACAATAATCATCAAATTGCTGCTAATTGCACGTAAAGTGCTCTTTTTTTGACAATGTCTGTTTACGATATAATTTGCTATTAACAGCTATTAGAATAAATAATAGCAAACGTGTTTACAACTCTTTTTTTATTCTTATTATAATTCTTATAGTTCACTAATTTATATATTGTAAATATTGTAATTTCCTTCTTTTATATTTAAAAAAGAAGTGCGTTTGGAATCGAATATATCGCACCTATTGTTGCCTCTTTTCCGCGTTGCCGATTGGTTGGTTGGTTGATTGAGTCGAATCGAATCGGTAAGATCGAGAGAGTAACTAATGAAAAGCGATTTTGAGACAGTTCGTCGTATATGTAGAGAAAATTAAAAACGTAACTAAAGTCACGTGACAGGAAAGAGTAGAAAAACAACACGTGAAAATAACGTGACTGTAATTTATATTATATATAACATTATATAATACATATTATACATTTAATTTATTATATATTTATAATATTATACTTTATATTGTATTATATGTATTATATACATACTACAGTAATGTCNCTGACCTCGGCCGCGCGGCCTTGGCGGGGTCACTGACCTCGGCCGCGCGGCCTTGGCGGGGTCACTGACCTCGGCCGCGCGGCCTTGGCGGGGTCACTGACCTCGGCCGCGCGGCCTTGGCGGGGTCACTGACCTCGGCCGCGCGGCCTTGGCGGGGTCACTGACCTCGGCCGCGCGGCCTTGGCGGGGTCACTGACCTCGGCCGCGCGGCCTTGGCGGGGCACTGACCTCGGGCGCGCGGCCTTGGTGGGGGGGTCACTGACCTCGGCCGCGCGACCGCGGCGGGGTCAATGACCTCGGTCGCGCGACTACGATGGAGTCACTGACCTCGGTCGCGCGACCGCGGCGGTGTTACTGACTTCGGTCACGTGAGTACGGTATATATATATGCGTATGTGTGTGTATTATATATAGATATAGAGTATTACATATAATATATATAATATTCTCTTTTTTACCTTTTTCCCTGTCACGTGTTGTTTTTCCACTTCTCTCTCTCACTATTTTTTGAGTTTGATTTTCATGCGTTATTTCTGACATGAGAAATGTCTAAAAACTCAAAAAACGATGCTTTATACAGATTTATGTTTTCCGAAAGTACATACGCTACTGGTGCATGATTTGAAAGACGCATGCGCGACTATTTTATTTTCGATTTGTCACGCTGCGTGGCGCTAGAGAAGTTTTGCGAATGATGTGGAATAATATTGGGTGTGTTTAGCCGAAGTTAGCGCTACGTAGTGCTAGCTTCGTCTAAACACACCCATTTACACATGTTGATCGGGAGAATTTTACGTGATCGTGATGAATATAAACGAAAGATTGAAGTCATACAGACGTAAAAAACACAAAGAACAGATGACGGAGTCAATCAAGAATGCTGTCAGAAACATATTTTCGTCGAATCCCAACGACACAGCTGTAGAATCTACGAAGGAAGAGGAGGTATGATTACAGTTATGTTATTTTTTACTCTGTCGGGAATGTGTGGTTCTTCAGCTGAGATAGAATTTAAAAAGCTGCAAAAAATACTATATTCTGTTCATTTCCTGGTTCTATTCAGGTTAAATTATGCAAGCAGTCACAGGAGATCCAGGATGAGGAAAACGTCCCGTCGTACGATAATGTACCGGAATCGAAAAGTACAGTTATCACCAAAATAATTTATCTTTTATACTTTTTGTTATGGATTACGCTGTACGCGATTGCGCTGGAGTATCAGTTTGGCGCTGTTTATTTTATATTGTCGGCATTGATCTTCATCTACTTGAACACCAGATCTGGACCAAAGCGACAAGGTGAACTCAGTGCCTATTCAGTTTTTAATCCAAATTGTGAAGCTATAGAAGGAACACTTGACGCATCACAATTTGAAAGAGAGATGGGATACAGAGTATAATAATGAGCCAGTATAATAAAAACTTAAAGTAGTAAAGTCTGAATATAAAAAGTTGTCATATATATGTATATATATATGTATATATGTACATATATATATGTACATATGCAACATTTTTTATTATTTAATATCATAGATTGACAAATGTGATAGTTTTTATGTCAATCATACATTGTACATTCCGTACAGATAAAGATTTTCAACTTAAAAGAGATTATACTATAGAAATATAATTAAATTATATAAGAAAATAAGTTTAAGTTTTGTTATTATTTATTTTTATCGTTGTTTAGAAATTAGTAGTATTTTNACAAATCGCATCTGGTCGTGAAACTTTCCGTAATAAATTTCATTTTAATTGGTGTTATTATTATAAACTATTTTCTATATATATAATTATATACACATATGGTAAGAAAAGAATATAAAAAAAGCAGAATCAAGAAAGTGTGTCAAAATATTTATATACTTTTTTCTACAATATCACAAAATAACTTTAAAATTAATGTTATACAGTTTTTGCTACTTACATTGTTTTATATATATATATAAAACGACATGTGAAGATAAAAGTGTTGTAAAAAATATACAATAAAATCAATATATTTCGCAACAACAAAAGTTCAAGATGTGTTTCTAAAATATATTTATATCCTTTGTCGCACAAAATTTTATTTTTCGATCTCATCTCTCTTGTAGGACTTGTATAGCATCTTCATAACACTTGACCATTTCATTGAGGTAGGCCAATGTGTTGCTAGAATTGACAGATAATTTATAATATCTCGTTATGTCGGTTCTGGAGTGTGCGTTCTTGTCCAAACATAAAAGTGCCTTGTCCAGATCTAAAAGGAGATCATTCCACATTCGCACTGATAGCGTTCTAGAACATATCGTAATCTGATGTAAATCTAATTTAATAATGTTGCATATGCGAGAGAAACATTCTCTTACATTTAGAGAATATGTCTCTTGCTCTTTTTGTTTATTTAGTATTGTGACACTTTCAAACTTAATCATTAATCGATATGTCTGAACTACAACTTACTGAGTATTATCCGTCGCATCAATTTTCTCATTAAGATCTTCAACTGCGGCGAGTAATATCTGCCAAGTTTTTTTCAGTTTTTCTGAAAAGCAAACGTTATTCGATTCAAAAAGTATCTGTAAATATCCGGTGAAAATTTCAGAGCTGGATAATACCTTTTGCATTTTGGAGCTTGATATCGATCGATTCCAACATCCTATTTATAGTCTCGTTAAGATACTGCGGCTTCCATTGAATAATTATGCTGTCAGACAGTCGCCATATAGTTTGACTAACCATCTGCCCCAGAATTACACCACGCGAGCTTTGATCGTGATACTCTACGTTGTGTACGAGGTTGCTCTCGTCTTGTAAAGCAGAGAAAACGTACGTAGAAAATTTCTTTGACTGATATCATCAGCCAAAGATCACTCGTTTGTAAATTACATTGTTGTATTAGACTGACATCGTAACTAATTGCAAAAAAAAGTGGAACATACTTGATCTAAAAGACAATCATATACATACTTACGAACGAAAACGCCACTTGTGGAATATCCAGAGAAAGACGCGGACCGAACACTTCGTGTTCGAGATAAGTCCAGTTGCTGTCACCGGGAATCGTCTTGATAGCTTCGACGGCTACGGATCGCATCACGTCCGATCCGAACAAAGCCACGTGACCGCTATCTGAGATAGGAAAAACAATTCTCTCACATGTAGATCTCCGCAGTATAAAAATTGCGGAAATGCAAACAAACCTTGCGATAAACGACCGTGTAATGCTACGTAAGCCACGATTTTTCGTTGCATAAATATGGGCAGAGTCTGCGGACAAACGTCCGTGGACGCAAGAGACACACAGAAAGTCAAACTCCGTCGTGGCCTCCAATTGTGGATAGAATAAATTTCGTCCAGGATCTGCGCTAGCTTCAAAGCTACAGCGATACCATCCCCATTAACCGAGAGGATAACTTGTCTATCTGAAACAATTCGGTGAAATTGAACAAGTAGAATAACTTGTGGAATAGGAAATACATGTGACAATATTTTTATATTTTCAACCAAGTCTCATTTTAACAATAATTGATCGAGAGACAATTCTCACCTGGTTCGCGCGCACCTCGAACAACTGCGCGAACGCAAGACGCGTAATTATTTATCTTGTGAATAAACGACAAATTGGAAAAGAACTCGTTGACGCGCTGCATATTAGACTCTAGCAAATCAGGCGCCTGCCAAGTTCTATATATAAAGATAACAAAATTATGTTTTCAATGAAAAATTCAATTCGACAAACTGTCTAACAGAAGAGTTTTATCATTGATTCTACCAATGCTTTCACGCGTATATTTTTTAAATATAAGAAAACCAACACACAGAATATTTAAACAACATACGTCACAGGTTCGAACGATATTCTCTCTAGTTTCTGAAGCGCTAATTGTTGAAGATAGTCGGTGTTTATCAGACCGTTCCCCGCTAATTCAACGTATGTCTTTTGTGCTTGGACCTCCATCGACCTTTCGGCGGCGAAACGGCCTAATAAAAAGCCGCAGAGCAGACAGATGAATCCGACCGATAAGAGAAACGAGATACACATTCGTTTGGTTACATATTCGCTGGTTTCGTCAATGCCGCGGATCATTTGAAGACTAAGAACACGTTGCATCCTCACGGAATTTCTAAGAGAATCCCGTCAGCTTGTTGCTACTGTTTCTGTCCACTTAATCCTTTATTGCGTTCACGTGTCTTTCTTTCTATTTCTCATGCTTGATTCGTAAAAGTGATGAACAAAAAACGTCCAATGTGCACTTTGTATGTAATTTTTTATACAATATTTTTAATATTATTTATATCTTAAACAAGGAAGTTTCACACACGCGAAAATATCGATTGATAAATTTCAAAACTGGCTCACTTGCACTGATACAATTGATAAAACACTTTCAGCACAATATTCACTTTGAATTACGATTTAATGCCACGGTTTGACTAAAAAACCCGATGATTTTACAACGTGACGTGTTGTGCGCTAAAGCTACGCTCGTCTCTATTCCTGGGAAAATCGCGTGTCTCAATAGTAAAGAACGCTCGACTTGCTCTGTTTCCGCTGTCTCCGTCGTCTCCCGAATTGCGTGGGACTCCAGAGATATATTTGACATTCCGCCTCTTCGACGTCTCGTTTATATTTTGTTCTCACTTTGAAAGAGCGCTCTCTTAACAGAAAAGCTTTATTATTTGTTCGCTAGCTGTAAACATCAAGATGTAGATAGCGATTTTTGCCCTCAAAATACGTATGTAAGGATAGTAAGCAGTTTATTATTTTTAAACTTAGTTTTTAGAAAAATTTATATATATATATATATATATATATATATATAAACGTTTTTTAACAAGATATAAATATTGAATGCAATTAGAGATGTGTGCTATTATCGAGAATTTTGAAAAGTGCGTGTAAATTTGATCGTAAGAATTTTATATACATGTTTGATTATATATAATTGCAGTTAAAAATACAATACTTATTTCTTGCGTACTATGTGGACACACAAAGGAATATAGCTGTCGTGAGATGAGCAATTTATTTCGAGTAATAATATGATAGTGGTGTTTCATTTATAAATAGTTTTCAATATATTACGTACACGTGCAAGGTTGTTCCAACTATAGCACGTGCGCGAATTTTCGAAACACACACAAACTTGACACGCATGTCAGTGACGGCAATGACACAATACTGGGTTAATATTAGAGTCAAAACTGATTATTGAAGCTCTCTATTCTACAAACAGAGAAAGTTGTAAAGAAAAGATCAGTTATATTATTGTTATACTGTGTAGGAAACAAAATTGGAAATGCTAAGAAAAACAATAATTAATACAATAGATTTTGTACTAAGGAGTTTTATTATCACACAATATGAATTAAATCACTTCAAATTACATAATTTGATTACATAATTTCATGTACATAGAGAGATTTTGGAATGTTGTTTGACAGTAATTGCTTATATTATTAGGAAGACATACATTTTCAAGACTCTTGCATTTATAGTTGCATTTTTGTTGAAGATATACTGATGGAATTGTAAATAAATAATATAAATGTGGTAATAAATAATATAATACAAATAAATACGAATCACAATTGTACTAACTATAATTATATTAATATTAATTAAAAATATTACTTATTAATATAATCGAAATATTAACAATTAATATATTTATTAAGAGAGCTTTATATCAATCTGCAAAATTCATATAATTACAATTATATTAATTCAAGTATTTCAAGCAATATACATGTTACAATTATATTAATATAATTAATGCCATTCAAACTGAAGTAATGTGTTTACATTGACTAAAATTGAAAAATATTTTGTTATAATTTAAATGTTATAATTTAAATTTGTTATAATTTATAAATTTAGTATAATAGCATTTAACGTATATCTAACATATATAGGGTAAGTTCTACTTGCCGTTCACAACGCTCGTGAGCGTTATTTGTCCTATCTTTGTTTAATTTTTGATGAAAAACAGAGATAAAATGATTCCATGAGCGTTGCGAACGGCAAGTGGAACTTAATAGTGTTATGTACATATACAATATTATAGTAGTAGCCTTAGTACAAAGTCTTTTTCAAGTAAACAAATAATTTTAAAATGTAAAAACAATTGTAAGCTTCGAAGTCTTTTAATCGATTTGTCACAAAAGTAAAGATTAAAAAATAAGGTCGAGAAAAAGAGAAAAAATTGAGAAATAAAACGATCGTCAAAATATTTTGAAAGTATTAAATAATATGAAAAGTCTTCTTATTGCTCAACGTTTTGGGAGAATTCCTGCTCAGCATGCCGTGAATTGAAAAAAATTAAAAATCATTAGTTTTAAGAATCTATAAAGTTTTGTTTATCTACATTGAATACTGAGTGTTTGATTATTTATGTCAAGTAACGTCTACTATCGGTTAATTTAAATTTATTTATTTCACGCGTGATAAATTGATGAATTTCATTCGACTCGACTTGAACTTTTTGTGTGTTCGCATATTCCCAATCTTAAACGTTCGTGATTTTTGAGGTAGCGTTTCTGACTAAAGCTAATGCCGCATCGCTGACACGTGAACGGTTTTTCTTTGGAATGGATACGCTTATGCCTGGTCAAATCGTTCTTCACGCCGAAACCCCTGCCGCATACGTCGCACGTATGATTTTTCTCACCTGTATGCACCGTCAAATGTACCAGCATCTGTTGTCTCCAGCGAAATCTTTTGGCACAATAGGTGCAATTGTGCGGGAACTCGTCCGTATGAGTCTTATTGTGTATGTAGATGGACGCTTTGGTCTTGAACGTTTTGCCGCAGGTGTGGCATACGTACGGACGCTCACCAGTGTGAATACGTCGATGATCTTCCATGGCGGTCTTCATGGCAAAGCTGCGGCCGCATATATCGCAAGTGTGATTTTTCACGCCATCGTGCACATGCTTCAGGTGATAATACAGGCTACCGCCCTGAACGAATTGCTTCCCACAAATGTGGCACGTGTACGACTTCTCTCCCGAATGAACGCGTATGTGGATACGATGACTTTTCCCGGAGCAAAATTTTTTGTTGCAAATCTTACAGACTAGTACCGAGTCAGCGGACACGACCTTGCCGGATTTGGACTGGTCAACACCTTGGTCTAGGCACGCCCCTGATTCGCTCGTCTGTTTTTGTGCTTTCGTTTTTATCATACAATTTAAACTTTTCTTTCTCTTCTTCTCGTTGTTCGCTGATCTATCCGAGACGCGTGTTTTGCAGATTGTATTTGTGCGAAAGAAATGTTCGTTCAATACGTCAGTAGCGATATGCTTTGCAAAAACACTCTTTGGATTTTCGTCAACAATATCGAATGATTTTGCTTGAAGTAGATTATTTTTAGATATGCGTTTTTCTGCTAACATCTTCCACGCTTTCTGAGAACAAATGTCGACTCGATCACGGCTGATTTGCAATCTGCACAAAAAACGTAATTTGTTTTATTAATGTCTCACCGCAATTCACAAAGGTATGCTAAAGAGAACAATGATATGAATATTGTATACAATAATAAAATCGTATAAAATGTATAAGAATATATATAGTGTATTAGAATTTTGTTTTTATTCATTTTATAACCAAAGTTGTTTAAACGCATTTTCGATAATATCTTTTAATACTTAATATATAATAATTTAATTTTTAATATATACTGGAATAGTTTTTTGTTTTAAAATATCAATAACGCGCTTATGTGATATGTGTCAATTTTCAAACTATACTTACAATGTTGCTCTTTTTTCTGATATTTCTCTGTTAGAACATCTTTACAGAAACACGTGTACTGCACTGATATTTTCGTTTTTTTATGTTGTTTGTGTATGGATTACACACACACGTACAATTCTTACTTATATATTTGGCATATTTTCAATTTCTGTTGTGATCATATAAAGCCTTAGTTTATTAACCTTAACTTAACAATTGATCAATTGCGCGCTCTTAATTAGCTACATTTAGCTTGACTGATCTCTTGAAGACAGATTGTGGTCTAAAGATTAAGAGTTATTTTATTTATTATCTTCATAATACTTGTATGTGCGTAGTGCAATATTTAAGACTTTCATTCTTCCGGCTTTTTTGTTTTTTCTTCTTGTGTCTACTTTGAAAGATCCGTTATATTCACAACTTGGCAACGAATCACAACGTTTGATGGTATGGTTATTCCAGAGATGCCTGTGGTAACATCGCAGCTCGTTGAAACTGGCGTCGCATAGCAAGCATGAAAATGCCTTAGTATGTCTATACACATGTTTTATTGCTTTCGCTAGGTTAAAAAACGGTTTAGCACAATATATACAATGAACACATTTTTTGAATCGGTAAATGGCAAAAAATATGCTTCTAATATTCTCAAGAGGCTTCACACAACAAAAACATGACTTGAGTGTTCCAGGTTCCCAATAACGATCATCATTAAAAAAAAAGCGATGATACTTAAACATATGTTTGAAATACTGCCGTTTAATTAGAAATAGCTGCTTAGGAATACAGACGCTACAAGAATAATATTTATTTAATAGAATATTTTCTTCTTCTTCTTTTGCTTCTTCTTCTTCTTTTTTTGCTTCTTCTTCTTCTTCCTCTTCTTCTTCTTCTTCTTCTTCTCCTTCTCTTTCTCTTCCTTCTTCTACTTCTACTTCTACTTCTACTTCTACTTCTTTACTCTTTGACGTCGACGGTTGTTCTTCATCTGTCGACGACTCGGATTTTCGATTGAACTTCCGATTTAGTTTTTCTATTAATTTTTCGTTGTAACTTAATTTTTTCATTATTGTTGATAAAAAATTGTTCACTTGCAAATTTTCTAATAATTTCAATCTTGTCCTTTTTCTTTTTAGTTATATATCTCTTTTATATAATTGTGAATGCTTTGATAATGAATGTTGTATGTAACACGTTTTACTTTGCCGGCTCCGTTTTGACAGTGATGGAGAGCGACTGCGTATGTAATCGCGTTAACTGTGCGTTCAACTGGAGTCAGTATTTATTGGCTTCTATACACAGAATACAGCGCAGCCAATCGTCAGAGAATAAATGTGTGGATCATGCGTGGCCAATCAACTTCTATCTCTCGCACTTTTCCGGAAATAAGATTCAAGTTTCGGAAGAACGAGACGGTTAATTGGCTGCAATATTGCCGCGTTAAAGAGTCTTAAATTTTAGTCGTAGATAATTTGTAAATTTTTATAAACAAGTAAAATGAATATAGGTATATATAAAAATAACACAATAGGAATTTAAAGGAATTTTAATTAAAACGATAATATAAACATAAATTGTATTGAAAAATAAAAATAATTTTTATGATATACTGATCAGGATGGATCATACAAGCAGGTGAGATTGATAAAAATTATATATGTACGTGATATTAATTATCTTAATTTTTTATTCCTTTTCGTGTACATAGACTATAAAAGAGATCCAATACATGACTTATTGATCGTACATAATAATACAAATGAAAAAAATATAAAATTGTATAAAAAATAAAAATAAATTTCTCTACATTTATTTATTTCTACTCTTATAAGAGTAAGATTATTAAAATTCAATGTTGTTGTAACATTTGTTTGTTTTTGAGCTGTTGTTAATGAGTAACTGGCTTACAATTACAATTACATTTGTTAGACGATCGCAAAGCTAAAATATCATTTCTCAAATAGAAATCTACCCATAGTTGCTGTTCATAAATATATTTACAGAAATACAGGTAACAATTTGAAATTGTATGTAAAATATAATCACATTTCAGACTTGCAAAGAATACGGTAGTGTTCGAGCATTTGCTCCGATTCTAAAAATTGCAAGTCAGGCGATATCTACTCTGTATATTTCCAACAAACTGCACAAGTCCACATAAGCTACTTCCTAGCCACAGAGCCAGCCAGAATAGAAGCTATACAGTTAATTAACAATGAGAAACTGATCATGCTTGTATATACGCAGATGTTTTATGCAAGTTTTCACAGTGTCTCTTAAGATACCGTTTTTGTGTGAATCCGGCGCTACAAGCAGTACAAATGTATGATCGTCGATTGGTATGAATGCCTCGATGACGAGTGACGCAGCTCTTGCTACGAAATTGTCTGTCACAAATGTCGCAGGTGTACGGCTTTTGATCGGAGTGCCAGGACACGTGCTTCTCTAATTCTTGTTTCCTATGGAAACCGCGGCCGCAGAAATTGCAACAATGCGGCAATATCTGAGAATGATAAAGCCGATGTACATGTAGAGATGCTTTCTGTTTGAATGATTTGCCACAAATTTCGCACACGTGAGGTCTTTCGTCTGTGTGAGTTTGTCTATGCTCGTCCCGCGACGTTCTCGATGCGAAGCGACGATCGCACACGTCGCAAGCGAAATTCTTGACGCCGTCATGAACATCGCGTACGTGTCTGTTCAAACCAGATGCCGACCGAAAGCTCTTGTCGCAAACATGACAGGTATACGGTCGTGCGCCAGTGTGTATGTTATGATGGATCAACAAATTATACGAAGTGGAAAGAATCTTCCCGCATTCCTTACATTTGTAAACAGTGCAACCGTTACTCTCTGTTACTCTCGAACAATTTCTTCTCATGTTCTTCAACTCTTTGTTAAAAGTATCAGATCGATCTGATTTGATTGATGATAAACATTTTTTGTTAAATATCTTCGATCGAGTTTTTTCAATGTCAACGCATTTTTCCGTATCGGACTTCGTTTGCCAGTTGTCTGGAGCGTGTGTTGTCAACTCGTCATTCGGTACATGTGTCCATCTGTAAAAAGAGTCAGTCCGTTATTTTACGGCAGTTGAAGCATCATGGCGATTCATGATTGAGTCTTTTATGTTTAACTAAGAGATACTTCCACGGGAACGAGCAGTTGCAGTCGATGCAGCATCAAGATTTTTCATTGAAAAAAGTCAAGCAATGTCGTTTCAGGACGTAATTGAAGCCAAACACTCTTGTGGTGGCTACATTTCAACGGAAACATTCATGTACTTGCAATTGTATACAAACATTTGTCCTTACTGCTTGAACGCTTTGTTTACATTACACACATACGGTCATCGATGTGGTGCTTTATTCTTTTGTCATTTTAACATGTATCTTTACTAAGTCTTCTTAGTAATCAAACACACACAATGTTTACATCTCATCACACGGCGTATTAAATAATGATGCTTTCTTTTGAAGGTGCGATGACAAATATCGCAAATAAAGTTTTTCTCTACAGCTTCACTCGCTATGGTCGAACTTCTCATTGGATAACAGTTTCGTAAGATTATTCGGCCGAGCAGCGTTATGATATGTCGTGAAAGGGGAGTTTTTCTGTAAAAACAACAAAGGCAATAGATTTGAATTGCAGTTTCCTTGCAGGTACGATAACGGAAGTGTGTCTACGTACAAAAAAGTATCAGACATCGGTCTGATGCTAGCTCTTATTACGCAGCATCCCTTATAGCGTTCTTTAAAACTCGTATAGATTCGTTGTGTCGACTCCTAACGTGATTATTTAGATAGCGTTTCTGCCGGAAGGCGAGGCTGCATACAACGCAGACAAATGGCTTGTTTTCGGAATGGATGAGCTTGTGTCGCGTCAGTTCAGACTTGACCCGAAATTTTTTCGCGCATACGTCGCAAGCGTGATTCTTCTCGCCAGTGTGCGTGGTAACGTGTGCCAGCAACTCTTGCCGGCGACGAAACTGCTTGTTACAGTATGAACACGCGTGCGGAAATTCGTCGGTATGCAATTTGCTGTGGATGTAAAGGGACGCCTTGGACTTGAAGGTTTTGCCACACGCGTGACAAACGTATGGTCGTTCTCCAGTATGAATGCGCCGGTGATCCTCTCGCGTTGCCTTGGATGCGAACGATCGGCCGCACAAGTCGCACATAAAATTCTTCAGTTTCGCGTGCACATCTTTCAAATGTCTTGTCAGCCCGCCCGAGTCGCGGAACTGCTTGCCACATATATGACACGTAAACGGCCGTTCGTCATTATGAATTCTCATATGACGTAGATATGAGTCCTTCAATTTGAAGCGCTTGCCGCACTCGGTACATTGAAAGGACTCTTTCTCACGCGACTCTGTACTAGTTTCAAACGAATTCTTATAGTCGATCTCGCTGCCAGGAGAACGTATCGAATCAATGTCCATAATTTCATCTCTTTGAATTTGATCTGTTTTTTCCTCGTACACGGCAGCGGCCGTTTGGCAAGATTCATGTTCCTGTTCGATATCTCTTGGAGTTACGTCACGCTTTTTCTTTGCTCCAGTGGGCAGTCTCACTGGATCGCTATTCTCCAATTCTTCAGATATAGTGGATGGTATGTCGGTGAGCGCCCTGTCTGTGGAGGCGACCCAGACCGAATCTCGGTCCTCGCCCGCCGCGCTCAGATTGCGCACTCTCGGCTGTACGACTCGTTTCCGCTTCCAAAATGCATTCTGCGTGTCCACAGACACTCTAAGCGGTGTCCGGACGCCGCAAGACCTGTAAAATAGCCGAAACTTGACTTCTAGATTTTATAATTGCGCGGCGGACGATTTGCGGCTGCATTTTCGAGCCGCTTATCAGGGCACTTGTTTTTCTGAGTAATTTTTAAAACCAACCTTTGGTTATTTTTTTTCTGTTTTATATTGTCTTTCTTTTTCGGTTTTGCTTGTACTTTTTCAATAAGCTGTTTCGGTGTCGTAAAAAAAGTTTCGTGACATATCCAACATCACACAATTACTTTTTTTTTTTTTTCATCAAATGTAGCTCAACAAGTCGCAGTTTGTTATAAAGCATATTACGTTTGTTTGCTGTATTCAACATCAAATAAACCAAACACATCTTATTTTTATGAGATATATGCAAAATATTTTAAGAAGCATTTGATAGCAGTTTTATTTTATATTTATATATGTATATTTTATAGTTATATATATAATATTTTATTTGTAATATTTTATATATATGTTTCCCTTACTAAAACAACATATTTTAACAACGTATAGTTTAAGAACAAAAGTATAAGAACAAAAATGATAATAAATAATATGTAAACAAAGTAAAAAAAATGCCTTGTTTTTTTCGCAAATTATAAAAATATGAATTTAATGTAATTACCTGGTAGACTTATTTGTGTCTTCTTCCACATCAATATGCATCTCATTTTTGTTATCATTTTTTTCTTGCTGATCAGGCTACAATAAAAATATGCAATTAAAAAAATATAAGTTTTAAAGTGTGCTAAGAATATTTTTTTATATTTTTCTATACTCACTTGCAAAGTGTCCATACCCGGTATGAGTGTTGCAGTTGTTGCTGCAATTGATGCAGAAATTCCCACTTCATTTTCTGCAGATATAGATTTATGATACTGTAAGAAAAATTTAAAATAGAAATAAAACAACATCATCATATATCTCTTAAACAAACTTAGCATTTTAGTGCACATCACTCATGTTATACCTCATGTTTATTTTGCAGCATGTTCTGTATTTCTAGCAATTTCTTCTCTGCATTCAGACATCCCTCAATTAACTCGTGCCAGGACAGCAATATACTGGTGCATTGGTAACATACTTGAGAAGGCAGAGTGTCATCTTTGGACACCTATGTGTCAATCAACGGACAAACAATTGACATTAATCAAGAAAGACAAATCAGTGCTTAAACCAGACTTTAATTGTTGTACACACATGTATCGGCAGGTACTTGAGTATTTTGCTGGACAAGTCATATTCGAGTCCTACATCCTCGAAGATAGGTATTAGTTGATTCTTTGGGTTGGCACATATCCTGCAGAGATGCGTCCACGCGAGTGCCTCCTCCGTCTGCTGCTCCGTCTCGACGACATTCTGCCCGAAGTATTGCTCATCCTGGCTATGCGATACCAGGAAAAAGTCCTCCTCGTTACGTGGACCCTCCTGCGTCGTCTTTATATTATTCCCGGTGTCGATCAGCACATTATCTTCAACAAAGGGTACCAGCGTCGTTGGGTTCCCGGGCTCTTCCATGTCAAAGAGAAGCGCAACGATCACGCGTCGTGACAGAGATTCTCTAGGCGCACTTGTCGCATTCAAAGTTGTTCAAAACAGACATTTTATGTGTTTCTATGTTTATTGATACTGCTAGTATTTCCTGGTGAATGACTGACGAATGACATGAATGGCATTAAGTGCTTTTCAGCTACGTACACGAGCGACACTGTGTCCACTAGTGTGAGACACACTGATACGCTCTTTCTCACACTGGACACTGTGGTCTAGTTTCCACCGAAACCCTCAATTCGGTTCCACCATTCGTGGAATTTGGACTTCTGTCTTCTCTCTGCTTTTGAATATAACTATGAACTGCTAATCGGTTTTTTCATACTGTAACGGAGATTGACAGCGCCTCCGTTATTCAAGTGGCAGTAAAGTGAAACATAAAAGTGAGACAGCGATATAGTGGCTGCGTTCCGATATTCAGTGCTAGTATTAAAAATCTACACTTCATGTCACATATTCTATAGATCCTTAGACTGGCAGTGAATATCGGAACCAGCCAATACAAAATGAAAAAAGAGAGGAAAAAACGGAATAAGTCATGTGTCGCAGTGCGCTAGAGTACGGAGTATACATTCGCGTGCAAATAAAATCAAAACATTGCTGGCGGTTTTCTCAAGCTCTTTTTTCAAAGAGTAACGGTGTTATTATACGTTAGAAAGTATTATGCAATAAAATACGTTCAACTTGTCATAAAGGTACATGGCCTGATGCGTTTCCTTTTTTTAAAAAAAAAAAAAAAAAAATATTGCATTAATGCGTGCGTAGCAAAGAAATAGTGTTGGCGACTTCTTCAAAGTTTTTTTTTTCAAAAAGTAACAATCTTAACATATTATGTCAAATAGTAGATATTATACACAATAAGTTTGTAAATGTATATAATAATTTAGTGCGTTAATATTTGGACTATTAAGAAAGTAGGTAGAATTGTTGTGCTCACACACGCATACACACACACAAGTAAATCTTTCTAAATATAGTTCTGTTTGTTCTTCCTCAGATAACTCGGCTGTAGAGACTATATAAGGTCGACGATACGAAGCAGCTCGGAAGAGACCGTAAGAAACGATACTTCTAATTGCATAAAAAGTTTCGCGCGATGTTAAAATGTGAGTATGTCACGTATTAAAATTTATATAAAATGCTGAAAACAAACTGCGCAAACGGTAAACATTAACGGTAACATTTAACGATAGTGTTAGTGGGTGAATGAGTGAGTCACTCGCCCGCGTGTTGATGAACCGGAAACAGCGTTGAAATGACTTTACCTTTAATCGTCACGTTTAATTATTAGCGATATATATCAAATGACGGTGCGCAGCGATTGCGATTTCAAATCAGCGGGGGTGGCCGAGTTTTATTGACTGACCAAACAATCGGATTTCACATTTACATCACATTTACGATCACTAGTAGAACGCGACGCTCTACGTGTCGATGTAATGACACCGATTTTCACGCGCGCTCTCAATTGCGTGATTAAATCGGGCGTATATATACATACGTCGAATACTTTATTACAGCGGCGCGCAGCTGCTTGATAATGCGTAAATTTGATAAACATTGGGAAGCTCGCGTATATAAATAGCCGTAATGTTCGCGCGACGCAATAATCTGGTAACGCAATAATCTGCGCGTTACGTGAACATCAAATTCGGGCTTATTTTTTTTTTTTTTTTTTTTTTTTTTTTTTTCCGTCAATACGGCTATACTGTACCATTGTACATTGCGCGTATACTGCTTCTGTGCGGTGACGATAAACCGAGTGGTTGTAATCTGCTTAAATACGAAATATCACGTATCTCCATTTGGTGTGTTTTAATCTCTTTCTTTTTTCTCTCTTTCTGTCTCTGCTTTCTCGAAAAAAAAAAGCGCGTTTTACCAACTCGCTTAATATAATCTTCATATCGAGACAGACTCTTCGTAAGATCCTTTTTTCCATAGAAAGAAATGAGTAACGCCAAATGAAATGAACATTCGACCATGTGAATCTCTGAAGAATGAAGTCAGAAGTCGGGTAGAAATAACGTAGACGTCGCAATGAAATCGAATAGTAAATCGTTTATTAGTACGAAGGTGTGTGATAGTGTCTCGAGATTGGCCACGACGCCGGCATGTTTTTGAAAACCGCCAGGCCGCGGTGGTGATGCCGTGACGTGAACGAGTGTGACAGAACTTTTTTTTTGTTCCTTAGCTGACGTAAGAGATAGATGTTAGAGCTAGTTACCCTGTTCTGCGAGCTGGCATTCCGCCCTTTCGTCTAAACGCCGATTCCGCAGGCCGATCTCTCGTCAAGGATCTTCTTCTCGAGGAAGTTCTCCTCGTCGAAAAGATCGGCTTCTCACCCCCCCATCATCCGACAACAAAACGCTCAATAGTATCGACATCCTCTTTGTACTGATTACGTTACCATAATTCAAGCTTGAATTGTTGGCGAATTTAAGTCGGACTGAGAGATGAGCTATTTTGCATTTTTATTAATTTTTTAAATTAATTTTTTTTCATAGAATTGAAGACCGCATATGCGTCGTATCTCAAATAAGAATTTTGTTATAAAAATCTGAAGTATCAAGTGTACGTGCCGGAAAATTTTGGAACGTTTCCGCGAAAGAGTTTGGAACACGGCGCGGCAGAAGGGTGGAACGCCCGTGCGAGCTAACTTTCAAGAAATGCTACTTGTTATACCTCTTCTCGAGGTACTCTAGTGTCTATGTTATTGTGTCCTCTGTTCTATAGCGCTAAAATCGCCGCTAAGAAATAGCGGTGCCAAAGTGAGACTGTTTTGGGGAAAGGAGAAGGGCGACGGGGGAAAGTGCGAGCTCCCCGTCACTCCTCGGAACGCAACAAATAAATAATAATAATAATAATCTCGCGACTTGTATACGCGTTCAAAAGGTAAGAAAACGTTCTCTATCTCTAACTTTCGTTCGTACATTCTCTTCTTTATTTTCTCTTTTTTTTCTTACTTAATTTTTTCTCAATGTATTTCTTCTTCTCTCCCATTCTCTTTCTTACTTACGTTTTTTCGCTCCGCAAAAACTCGCTATTCTCGCGCACGTGCGGTGCGGGAGATAAAAAATAAAAAAAAAAAAAAAAAAAAAGAGAAACGAAATATCGAGAAGAACGACAACTTAATAAACATTTTGGCATACATAACGTAAATGCGTACATGATAAGCGGCTTACGCATGATCCAAGTTGTCTGCCCAAATTTACACACATGTAAATACTAATATACTGATTTTATATCTGATCCGTAATTTAAAATTTAAATAAATTAAATTTTCAGTAAAAACATGAAAAATATTCCCTCGTTTAATTAATTTTGAATATCAAAAGAGTTTATTTTTCGAGATATTTAATGTGTAATATCTTACAATTAGATAATTAATTACGTTAACATTTTACAATTGTACGAATTTTCTTCTACTGATGATTCGTTCACAAATGTGAACTGCAAATGGATTAATCCTTTCGACATTTGCGCAATACTTTCGGATCATGCATGATCCACTTCGTGCGTACTTTCGCTCGCTATGTTACTCGATATGCAACAATTAATCTTCATAACGAAGATCCGCTCGATCTTGTACGTTCGCTTAGAACAAGAATAACTTAAACATTTCATATACATACACATACGTATGTAATTATACAGATTATGCACAATAAGGTGAAACAACGAAAAAACACTCAATATCGACGCAAGCGAATAGAAAATTGTATAATTCGACCTGCTTCTTTCACTTTCACAATTTCGCTTTCATCTTTCTTTGCTTTTCTTCCCGATACCACCATGATCTCCAAATCATCTTTTACATTTTCGCGTCGTATGTGCTTTGATTGTGTTCCTTTTTGATCGTGCATAACTCTCGTCTCGTGAATAAGTACACACTGTTACACCTCCATTCTCTCCCGTTTACGCATCTGCGCTCTAGGCAGTCGTGCTCTCGAAATTACTTGCATTTTTGTTCGACTACTCATATTTGTCGAACAACAATGCGTTTACAGCTGCCTTTTAGCTTAATGTATGTAAAATTAAAATGATTAACTAAATAAAAAATTTTGCCTTTGATTTGCGCGCGGTCTTCTTTTGCCTTCGCAGGACTAGAACGAGCTTGAATGCAATTTTATAAAATTGCTTTATCATAATTCGTTGAACTATCTTAACTCTTTTTAATTAAAATAATTACATAATACTTTGTATATTGGCAAGCTGCTCATAATCCGCGTCCCAAGAAAAAACAATAGACTGCACATCGGCGAGAGAAAAAACTTCATTAATTCTAATTACATCAGTACAAAAGTACTCGACTATATATCACACTCTTTTTAACTAATTTAACTCTTATCTACTAAATTCTTTCGTAAATTTATTTAAGACGGAAGAACTGTAAAGTAACAGTCACGGTAATGATTTAAGTAAAAACATTGACTTGATTAGCTTCAGACTGATGAAGATGCGAGGACACACAATTCAGTAAAAAAACAACACAGGAAATTTAACAAATAAAGATAAAATAAAATAAAATAAACAGAAAGAGATGTTTCAAATTGTTGCATGTATAAAAAGTGTCGATTATTGCTTATTAGTTTGGGCAATGTGTGTAAGCATCGATAATCGAGAGCAAGACTTTCGAGAGCTTTGCATATACCTTTTATCGATAGTATTGCGCGATCAACAAATTCTTGTTACGCGATGCAAATATATAGTCAAACTAAAATTATTAGCGATGAAAATACTTCAAAGAGATTTTATATAATACCGCAGAAATATTATTAAGTTTCAACTGGTTTGAAGCGACGTAATAGATAAAATAAAAGTTGCATTGGGAAAGAACGAAAAAACAGATATTTTTTTTTTGTTATTATTTCGCTCCCTCCAACTAACGACCACGTCGATCGCGCAAACTGTCTGATCTCGCGTGCGACTCGTGCATATAAAATTATATTTACAACAGAGTGATTATTTCTTTGTATTGAGGTATTCGCCCTAGGCGCGTCTAAAAAGAGAGCGTGCACTATTTCCGAGAAGCGAGAGGGAGACTTGCGACGTCGCGGAGCAATCCTCTTTTGTAAGCTTCGCGCGTCCCGCAACTTCAACCTCCGCCCTCTCGCTCCGAAAAGGAAAGATACAATGGATTTCTCCTCCTTTTCCTGCCTCCGTGTCGCGCTTACCGTGATCGCGACGCGCACGCCTG